CATTTCAGACGGGAAAAATATTCCATATGAATCTTCTACGGACACTAGAATTTATAATATTTTTCGTTAAGATCAATAAAATCGTTAATATATGTTTTTGATCTTCATTTATAAAGTCTATATACAATTATATGAATCAGTAAGCAGTCACAAGTTAATGGTTTTGTAAAAAATACGATCAAATATAAAAAAATATAAAGTGTAATATTGACGTAGTTCATAATACTAAAAAATTACACACTTCCGATTCCCAGGCAACACCACAAAAGAACAAACACAGAAAGCGCCTCCCAACACGCACAAGGCTTTCCTTTGTATGCGCCTTTTTTCTTACGTCATCGCTATATCGCAACTACGAGTGTCCAGAGACGAGAATAATCGAGCAGAAAATTATTAACGTCTCCCCCTCCGTGGTCATTCCCTCGCACTCCCTTTCTTCCTCACTCACTCTCTCTCCCTCACCAGCCAATTCCCCCCTCCTGTTTCCCCGTATCCGAAACGAATTTTTATTTTTCCGTTCCGTCCAGCGGTTCGCTCGGCCGTACGCGAACGGTTCTCCCGTTTCGACGACAACCGTTTTCCCCCTGCAGTTATAATGTGACGTGCGGCTTGAGTCCCGATCCGATCCATGCTCTGTATTAATTCCATATGATCGATCCTTCGACGGCCGCCTTGAGCGAACCTAACTCCTTCAGACATTCAAGAGCCAACTTAGGAAAGTATCAAAAAAGTTAGATACATATTGGGTACCTAACTCCCGGTAAGTTTAAGTGCCTACGTGTGTTTGCAAATTTATGAGACATTATCTGATCAAGCGCATATATGCATTGGTCTTTTTAAATATGTTCGACGACTATATTTTATATCTGCAAATTTAAGAATTATATCACTCAATGGAATAACAATATTCCTTGACGAAAATATATGAATTTATTGTAAAAATAATTACTAAATTAAAGGAATAGTTACAAAGATTTCATATAATTTTATGTTTACAAGCAGCAATGTTGCGATTACGATTGCTATGCCACGACACTAAAAACAATTGACATTTTCATGTATTTTCAAAGTAAACGTCATTTTATATCACTTCTTGGATTTTTAGATTTTTATGGATTTTACTATCATTTTATGGAGAAAGAGTTATTTATTTTATCTTCATAAACAGAATAATGGGATTTGCATTGATGAAAATAATTAAATCTTTCTGAAATATACTGTTCAAAGCTTCATAAATACAGTATATTAGAGCTGACATTTTGGTGGCTTTACATTATAAACGTTAATATTGTAGGTATTTTTCAGTAAGCAGGAGTACTTCTTTGTACTAATAAATCTTGTCAGTATTATTTTACGGTTTGTAAATTCTCAGTCTTTGAATAAATATTCACACAGTTCTTGCATTTTGTATGTATGGTGCAACAGCCATTTTTGGATGGACAAGGCACGCTTATACTCAAAACAGCTTGCATTGGGTTAAACAGAAACACTTCCTGTTCGTCTAACCCTTAAGAAAAGGGACGCTGTCGCACGCGCGCTTATCCACAGCGTGTATACACAGGAAGGGTGGAAGGAACAGAGAAAAAGAAAGAGAGAGAGAGAGAGAGAGAGAAATCGGGATTAAGAGGTGTGTGGATAAGTACTGGAATAAGAGGGCAAAGAGCTGTCTGCGCCCCCTCCGAGACACATTCCGGTACACATGCGAGCTAACCAGCTGATCGCGCGCACCCCTTTCACGCCACTACCGCATAAACGAATACCGACATATTAGCTTCTCCCTCTCCGAGTCTCAGTCCTTCCTCTTTTCATAGCCGTGCACCTTCGATCGACTACCTACAAGCACTCGGCAGCGCGAAAGACCGAGGAGCTAAGGGCCCGTTGTCCGTCTTTCTCAGCTCGCGCATACCTCGGTCGAAGAGACTCCAATCCTGAAGTCGACATTTGAAGCAAAGTAACAGATCTGTTGGTGTTGTTGTTGCTGTTACTACATTCGAGAAGGACCGATGCCATCAAAATGCCGGAAGTGCGAGTGAGAGAGGTAGGTTAGGCGCGGCTTTCCTATTTCCTCCTTTCTTCTGCAGGCTTTTACACGCTATCTGCTCTTTATTACAGTTTCTTAGCCTACTAATTAATACTGGATTAAATAAGACGCTCTCTTTGTTTATTTTCGTCTAACCCCCTGCTTTCTCTCATCTATATATAATATGCTACAAGGTCTCACTGATTTCCAATGAGAAAATTCCTCTCGCACATACGCAAGCGCGCGCGCATGCATGCAAATATCTCTGTCTGTCATGCCTTGAGGACAATATGATCCTTGCATGAAAACACATGATAAAAATTAAAAGAAAATATTTGTAGACGGCTCGTAATATCCTGTAAATACTATTATCTGATATTTAAATATGTAACAAGATATTGTGGGAATGTCTCCCACGTGAAATATAATGTTGGTATAACTATTTTATAACCAATTTAAAACGTTAGTGATTCTTAAGGTTATTTCTCCAGCACTGTCCTTCTTGAAATTAAACGAATTTAACAAATTTTATCTTTGACTTAGTAATTATAAAAATGTGATGCAATCTCAAAATTCTCGGCATGTGAATTTTGCATTAGTAGATAGAACATATAAAAATTCGAAAATTATCTAGAGTTCGTTTAAACTATATGAACGTTCGCTCCCCTAGCATTAGTTTCATTGCAAAGGTATTCAGCGTAGAAGACATAAGGCTTTGTGCACAAAGGGAGCGTTCGCGTTGTCCTTCTTGCACCTGACGTCGTACGTGCACATATTTATGTGAATTCGAGAACGCTCACGCACGTATACGTTCCCAAAAATGATACATTGGTATGCAATAAAAAACGTAATAATATATAAGATTTTATATGAGAAAACGAGTGAGAGCATGAAACAAAGGAAGAAATCTTATTAAATAGAGTTACTCGTTGCAGGCTTACGTGATACGTGCCAGTTTGTGTTCGTATGATAATACCTATATACAATGTATTTACTAAGAGGCCGGTGGAATTTTCTCAAATATCCTTGGTACGTACATATTTTATAATACCGACATTTTGAAAGTTCTTTGGAGTTTTATCCAAGGAAGATGGAAGGGTTGATTCGATGTGAAATATAATATATCTACTATCCGGAATGAGAGAAATCGAGAGGAGGCAGAGAAAGAGTGAGAGAGAGAGAGAGAGAGAGAGAAAGAGAGAGCGCGATCGCGAAAGAGATGAAAAACAGAGTCTGCGCATCCGTCTTATAAGTATACTCCGGTTTTGGTACTTTGGGCTAGTTACATCTGTATACTGTATCACTTATCGAGCCTGCGCGCGAGTGTACATGGTTTTTGCGTAAGCGTCTATGCATAAGAATGTGCGCGGCTGTTATATGAAACAAGTGAAGAGACAAAGAGAGGTGGTATTATATTGTAACATGTCGTCACGGAGGAATCGGGAGAAATGACGAAGAAAGGGCTGAACTGCTCCGAAAAGTCACGGTGAGCTGAGGCTATATTGGGAGGCTTTTTTGCCTTCTTTTTCGTCTTTGTTGAAGCCTCGTGCATTGTATTTTTTTCACGTTTGGCTAAAGGACCGCTTTCGCCTCATAGCTTTAACTTTTTCATATCGTGGTGTACTGAGTGAATGAAAGAGGGCACGAATCTATATAACGGATGAAATCTACAAAATGCAGAGTGCTAGTCGAGGAAAGACGCGAAGAAAGAAATTAAAGGAAATATGTGTGTTTTTAAGGCATGTAGTGTTATTACTTGCACTGTGAATGTATGATTTGAAACTACTTTTATTGTTTTGAGGATTTTTTTCATTTCGGGGTATCGTATCGTTTTTATTGTTGGTCTTTTACGAATCGTAAAGTCGAGGTAAATAGTTATATATTTTGGTTTTTAAGTCAGGAATTAGCTTAATTAACGTATATCGATTCGTTCGTTGAAAACTGTAATCATCATCAAGATTAATTAAAATAAAAATATAGCAACACCAATTTATAATTATATATAAAGTATATTTATCTTTTAAGATTTTCTTAATTAATGTTTTCTTAATAATGTAACGAAACCATTTAGCTTGGTAAATTGTATCACATTATTTTTGCAAAAGTTTCATATAAATTGTTTACATTTTATTATTTAAAAGTATGTTGATTTTAACGAAAATATTGCATGAGATTATTATTTGAAAGCAAATGATTTATTAGTTGACAGATTATTTTAAATATTCGCGCTTTTGGCAAAAAGATACGACTCCATTTTGAAAAAATTAGATTAAATTTACAAAAGTTCACAGAACTGTGGTTCTAATAACAATAAAGATACTTTTATATAAAAGTAAAATGCACATCAAATCATACATTCGAAATTAAATTGGAATTCGATTAAAGTATTTATTAATCGATAAATTCTATTACAATTTTTGAAAAAAATTTATTTTGTATCATATTCTCTTGTAAAAAGGAAGGAATAATAAATTCAATAGTAAAAATATTTTCAGTTATAAAGTACATTCATGCTTATAATAAATATATAAATAACGAAAATCTATTAACGAAAGTTCTACTATACGCTGTGTTATAAAATTACAGAAAATAAACCAAGAGAGATATTATACTAATAACGCAAAATATTAATTTTCAAAACAATATACAAATATTCAAGAGTACATAACTAACGATGATGCTCCAATTTTTATCGTTAATATCTTGGAATTGTAATTATAAAGCCTAATCGTTTCTATCGTAACAGGACCGTCATCGACTTGTCATCATCATATTCATTCGCGCATTTTTCCTTTTACAATTTTACTGTGTACAATGAATATGACTCAGTTCATAACGTCACACAATTCCTAATAAATGAGGAACAGACGAGGAAAGGAGTTAACTATCGTCGCTGTAAAATGTGCAGTAAAGAAGGAAAGGATGTGTCGAAAAAAGGGAGAGAAAAAGTGATGTAAGAAATAGTGAGTAAGAACGAAGGATCCTATCCATTCGTTTACGACGTTTATGACGTCAATGCCTGTCGTATACGCTGTCTGCGTGCGATAATTTACAAGAGCGGGAGGGAGGAGAGAAAATAACGCGCCATGCATACACTGTGCGCGCGTGAGAGAGATAAAGCGAGGTAGGGATAAATATCATGGAGTGAGCGCGGACCCGTGGGGGATAGACAGAGAGAAGATAAGGAAAAAAATAATAGCCAGCGATTGCGTTCGAGCGCGTGTGCCTTTTCCCGTGTATGTACATAAGCAAGCTGGGATCCCGCGCGCGAGGCTTGTTGCCGTTCATCTCTGGGGGGCAGAATAGTAGCCGCTAGTCCCGGACGTAGATTGCCGTTGCCGCCGCCGCCGACACCGCCACCGTCACCACCACCGCCGCCACCGTTGCCGCGTGGGTTTTATCGTGCTTGCGAAGCAGGCTCAGAGCATGGGCTCGAAGAAGCACAAGAAGCACAAGCGCGAGAGACACGAAGGTGAGAGTGAGATAGCGCGCGCATGCCTTGTCAGCTACACGAGGAGTGCCACAAAAGGGAGGGAGTCCAGTGTGTTTTTTCTTCTTTTCATGTATCCTTCCGTCCTTTCGTTCACTCGTCCACCCGTTCATCCATTCTTTCGTCTGTCCCCTCGACCCTAGGCAACTTTCCTATTCTTCTATAGGCCTGTACCATACATTTATTTGCGTGCATGTGTGTATCTTCGTGTAACGAATGACGCTGTCGTTTAACGTTGGTGATCCCTTGCCGTTTTTATACCCTCCTACTTTTTTGTTTTTCTGACACTTCGTCGCTTGCCGCCGCCCGCTCGTCATATATTCTATATATTCTTGATCCAATCTTTACTGCGATTCGTCAGCCGTGATTCTCAGATGCTACTTTATTAGAGGTGTTGTTGTCTATTAAAGTTTCCTACATATATCGATTACGCATTTCAAATGTATTATTAGTTACTTTAATTTTAAAGTGATTGGTTATGTCAAAATTTGTTTATATTAAATTTTTTAAAATTAATTTATGAAATTTGATGTTTGATACCTTTTTTTATCAGTTCTTTCTAAACTAATAGAATTATATTTTAATTTGCTATTTTGTAACTTTTATTTTCATTGTTACTAAACAGTTTCTAAATTACAAAAGAAGAGATTCTGAAGCTGAACGTTGTGTCTAAAATTAATTTATGTTTACATTTGTCCATAATTAGTTTAATAATAATCTTATGTAGATTTTACTAGAAGATATGTACAATTTTCATATACCATTTGTTATTAGGTAATAAATATTTGAAACAATTGATGGAGTACATATTTATATTACTAAAAATTTCTAAATTCTATTCCTTAAAGCATTGTATGCCTCTATGAGTGTGTGCAAATTATAATAATAAATATTATTTATTAAAGTGTCATATTAATAAAATATTTTGATTATTTGTATGAAAATGAAACTTTTAATGAATGCAGTTCCTATTTCAATTATTTAATTAATAATATGCAAAATTTTTACTATTATTTATTTATATTTATGTAAGCCTCGTTTCCTTTATTTTAGCTGAAGGTCTTTACCCCATACCAGACAAACCTCCAGCTTTAAAATTAATATTAAAAGTTGGTGGAAATTGTGGGACTCCTGAACACGGTGGTGGTGAGTCACCAAGCCAGGCAACCATGTTATCTCAACATTATCAACAACAACTAGGTTTTAATTACTCAGTAACTGGAGGAGAGCAGGAATTTGATAGGTATTTGGGACATAAAAAATTAAAAAAAAAGAAAAAGAAGAAAGATAAACGACATAAGCATCATCACAAAGATAAAAAGAGAAAGAGAGAAGAGTCAAGCCAAGAGTCTGTTGGTGATGGAGAAGAAAGCATGGTGGAAGCACCCAAAAAAATACCACTTAATCATCAACCATTACCTATGAGACCTATTATTCCTCCTACTAATGAATCAAGAGTAGTAAATCCTGCTGCTACTAGTAGCTTATCACCTCATAGAGAGCCTCGTACTTGTGTTCTTAGGAAAATTGCAGAAAAGACTCCTCTTCAGCGATTGTTGGAGCATTTACTTAGGTTATTTATTGTTATATTATAAATTATAATTTTTTACTATTAAATGTAATTTGCCAAAAATAAGTTTTATGTTTTTAGATCAATGGAAAAGCGAGATCCACAACAGTTTTTTGCATGGCCTGTCACAGATAATATTGCTCCAGGATACTCGCAAATTATTACAAATCCTATGGATTTCAGTACTATTAAACAAAAAATAGATGATAATAATTATCAAAATCTTAATGATTTTATAGATGATTTTAAGCTAATGTGTGATAATGCAACCACTTATAATCATCCTGATACTATTTATTTTAAAGCAGCTAAAAAATTGCTACATGTTGGTTTAAAGATGGTTATACCTGATAAATTAAAACAGTTACGATCAGTTTTAGTGTACATGCAAGATCTGACTAAAGAAGAACTTGGATTTGAGTTGGGTACTGAAGATCCAAATAATCCTGATGTTCACATAACTGAGGAGCAAATAGAGAAAGAACGAGAACAAGAGGAGCAAATAGAAGAAGCTGAAGAATTGAGGAAAGAAAATCAAAGGAAAATGCGTTTAGCGAATTTGAGTAAATTTGAAGCCATTCCAGATGATTTAACTCCTGACGAGATTTTAAAACAAGCTCGCAATGCTGCAAAATCTGCTGCAGAAAAATTAAGTCTCAAGCGAGTAAGTTCAAAAATGGGATTTTTGAGACAAAAAAAAGATGGCACAACAAGTTTACAAATCATAGTACCCGGAGATGGAGTTATTCCAGGTACAAATCAGAGGCCTGTGTCTTTAGGACAACTAATTGGGAAATTAAGTCATGGTACAGGTGCTTTAGCTGGATTTAGAGAAGATAGAAGAAATATGTCCAAACCAGTAAAACCATTGTATTATGGAGCTTTCGGATCATATGCTCCAAGCTATGATTCGACATTTGCAAATCTTACAAAGGAAGAATCAGACTTAGTGTATCAAACTTATGGTGATGAGACTGCTGTTCAATATGCTGAATCTATTCTTGACTTTGCTAAAGATTGTGATTATACATTGACTATGGTCGATGATTTACTAGATATTTTAACAAACGGAGATCATAGACAAACAAAAAATTTCCTTGAAGAAAAGCGAAGACTCAAAGAAGAAGAAGAAAAAATTAAACACCTGCTAGAGAAGCCAATTCAAGATCTAAATCGGAATATACCATTAGTTGACAAAGTAAAAGTTGATATAGATCAATTGAAAACTTTGTCAGATATTGGAATTGATGTCAATTTCTTAGAAAGTTTAGGTAAAACTTCATTATTTATAATATTTAAAATTAAAAATCCTAACTTCAAACGAGTTTTATATTGTGTTAAATATTGTATACTTAAGATAGTTAAATTTTCATTGTGTATATGTTTTATTTATTTATACATATATTTTTGTTTATCGTATAAAGAAATAATTTTAATTACAATTTTTCAGAGGAAGACATAAAATCAAATGAAGAACGTGCAGCACTACAAAATCGTCTTGATGATACATCAAACATGTTGAATAGCCTAAGGCAAACTCAACATGATCGTCTTTCAGCTCCTCCTCCACCACATTTATCAAATATACCAAAACCTTCAGAATCTGAGGTGATGCTTGCTGAAAAAATTACAGAAAATTTAACAAGTATAGCAAAAAAATTACCGCCATCTTCAATTGCTCCAGTAGATGGCTTGAGGAAAGCTATGGGAATTGCACCTCTTGGAGGACCAGAACCTATGGAAGTCGAACCAATTACTCATAATCCTTCAATTGTTACAGATAATACAATTATTCAAGAAAATTGCTCAAATCAAGAATCAAGTAATATGTTACCAATTGCTATGTCATTAGATATGAATAATGTAAGACAAGGACAACTACCAATGCAAATGGTATTAGCTCAAAATCAAGCAACATCCATGTTAAATACAACAGAAACATCAGGAGTTACTGATTTAGAATCTGAGCTTAGAGAGTTTCTAGAGAGTGATCCAACGTTGGGTCATTCACCTCTTCATGATGACAAAACATTAGAAGACATTCTTTCAGAATCTTAGCACGTAATATAGTTATTCGCTAAGTCAGTTGAATTTTTGTAACTGAAGAAAATTGTAAATTTGTTTAATGTGTAAGTTTTAACTATAAGACTAATCTAAATTTAAAAATATACAAATGCCTTTGATAACTCTTTTTGTTTCATTATCCTATCATAAACCATTTTTTGTAATGCAAAAATTTTATATATAAAATACTATTATCTAAACAATCGATTAAAACAGATAATAAAATAATATAATCAACCACTTTATTTATAATAAAAAAATTTCCAACTATACAAAACTTAAAACAGTAGATTTATATTAAAATATAAAAAATATATTAATTTTCAATGATTACAAATGTATATAAAAACTGTTATAAATATACTACTAATTATAAAGCGAAGTGTAATCTTGAAACCAAATAAAATTTGTCTATGGGTGATATATATTTATTTAATTGGAATGCCAAGAAAAATGCGTCATTGCATTTGCATGTGAGAGCCTCAAAGATTATATTTGGCGGGAACAGCCACCTAGTGGCGGTCGAGAAAATTGTATGCATAAGATATTTGTAAGTACACCTACATAAATTTACGAAATATATACAATTCATTGGATGCTGATAACTGGTTAATAGTGCTTTAGTTTATTTAAAATCGAAATCGTCAAATTTATTTATAAATAATCTAATATCAAATTTCAAAACTGAGGTGTATTGTCTACAATTAAAAGCTGTATTTCAATTATTAAGTCATTAAAAAGGTTATGGAAAGAATTTAATGTTATTAGATAAAATTGAATGTAAAATGTCCGGTCCTATGGTTTTATGTCAATTGTGGATGGGCGGGGTAAGTAATTTAATTTTGTGATAGATTTTAATATTAAAAATATTATACTCGTTTTTAATAATTGTAGTACACTAAAAAGAATATCGATGTCATAATTACAAAGAAGGGCAACTTAACCTTACATCGAATATACTTAAATTCATTGGTTCTAAATAAATATATTTTTCATTTAGCAAATTTAGCAGTCGAAATGTTTTTAAAAATAACGGTAACATTTGTATTAAAAATATATAAACTCTAAGAATTATATTTTTAGCTTGAACCATATATGACGGAAAGTTTTATTATGAATGCATTTCATAACATGGGTGAACAACCACAAACAGTTAAAGTAATGAGAAATAGATATACTGGTGAACCAGCTGGCTACTGTTTTGTTCATTTTCCAACTGATGAAATGGCCCTTGATGCTATGCATAAATTAAATGGAAAAATTATTCCAGGATCTAGTCCAGTAAGTGTATTATAAAAAAAGGCATTCTTCATTATTAAATATATATTTTAATTTGGACGATTGATCGTATTATTTACAAGTATCTTAAAAATTTAATATTTCATATTGAATATACAAGTTTTTATCATTCATAATATGTAATGGTGTTATAATTTTGAATGTATTAAAATTATATTACTATCAGTTCTATTGATTATGATACTATTTTGATTAAATTATATATTTATTTTTATTATAGCAAGTCAGATTTCGATTAAATCATGCAAGTACAACAGGAAAACCAGCAGCTGAAAGAGAGTACAGTATTTGGGTGGGAGACCTTTCGACAGATGTTGACGATTATTCATTATATAGAACATTTGCTGCAAAATACAATTCCATTAGAACAGCGAAAGTAATATTGGATAGTTCAAGTTTTAGTAAAGGTTATGGTTTTGTTAGATTTGCTAATGAAGATGAACAAAAGGACAGTTTGGTTACAATGAATGGATACAGAGGTCTTGGAACAAGATCATTAAAAATATGTAATGCAGTTCCTCGGCCATGGAATAAAGTGACAGAGTAAGATAATTTTATGTATTTATATAACCATTTTATGAACTTTTTATAGATTAATAATACTTTCAAAATTATTAAGATTAGGAATATCTAATATTATATTTCTATTTTTTTCATTTATTTGTATTTTTTTTATATGTATTTTCATTTTTTCGTAAATTTTTTCAATTATATGTGCCAAGGTTTAATTCTTGTATATATTTTATATATTAGGATAATTAAAGAAATGTTTTTAATAATTTTTCATTTGAATATATTTGTATTTATTATTTTATAAACAAGTTTAAATAATTTTAATTTTGGAATCTTAAATGATATTATTTTTAAAATTAAAGTATTCTGGAATTAAAAAAATTTGTTTATGCACAATTTTACTTATAATTACAAAAATTTTACAGTTCAAATTCTGCTCCTTCATCCTCAGACTATTCATCAGGTATGTCTTCTGATGCTTATAACTACTATGATACATCCTCGTATTGGAACAGTTATAGTGCTTGGCAACAAGGTTATTATGAAAGTGAACCAACTTCAGATGGATACAGTAATTATGTATCTGATCGTAAACCTGAAGAAGATGAGCTAGAACTTATCGGTAAACACCTAGCGTTTATTATTAAACTGTACAGATATCCTTATGATAATTATATTTGAGATATTAATCTAATCCTTAAATATAGTACGTTGAAAATAGTGCAAATTATAAAATAGTGCTGTTATATTCTATAATAAATGTAAAATCATCCCTGATAGATATAAATCTTGTTACTTAAAAATTTTTTTTCTCATTTAAAAAATTATTTTTTATAGAAATCAGTTCAAATTTTAATTTAATAATTATTTATTTCAGATCACTCAATTCCAGTAGATGTAGATAAGTTAAACAGGGAAATTATTGAACAAGATTACAATTTGTGGGATGCTTTGGAAAGTTCAAAATGGATTCCCTGTGACACTTTAGAATTATGTTATTGATATTTGGATAATACGTAAACTTAAGATACTAATCGTATGTATTGATCTAAATGTAAATGAAAGGAGAAAATATTTTACGATGTAAAATACGAAGACGAAAAACAACAAATTACTCATGTATATTATTCGCCTTTAAAAGTTATTGCTGATGTATATAAAAATAAAACAAAACAAAAATAACTTTACTACTTATTTCATTATTGTTATCGTCAGTCTCTACGTGTTATAATGTACAATTTCCTGATAAATATTTACTTCCAGTTTTGAGCATTTCTTCATTACATAATTGTAGTATTTGCCATAAAACTCATAATAATGCTCAACTATTCTACATCATGTTTTCATCAAATACATACAAAACAATACTATATAATAATTAAAAAATTTACAATGGAATATAAAATAAAATTTTAATTTTAATCTGCAGTAAATAAATTAATTACAAAGGATAAATATGGTACCAAATAAAGAACTTCTTTAAATAACAAACAATTTATTCTTTTTTTAAGACATTTTGTAATTTGCAGTAAAATAATATATAATGAATAATATAGTTTAGTTTCAGTGGAATGCAAATTTGCAAAATACACACCCTGGAAGTTGTAAAAAATTGATGTAATCTTTGGCTAAGAGATTATTCTAAGCCCATCAGGTTATTGTAATAACACAGCTTCTTTGTACATATATTGATTTTTTTTTCAAACAAATCTATAATTTAAGGTTTCTACCTAGTCAGCAACAAAACTGCAGCAACAAAAAATATTCCTAACAAAATCAATCGTTACTACTAATATTTGATTCATAGTTTACATTAAAATATACCTATATATTAATTTATATTAATAAACTAAAATTACAAGTATAACTACTGTTAATTTTATAAATGTAAGTAATTAATTTTATGTAAACTTGATTTCTTTATATAAAAAAAATACGATTATTGTAACGACAAATTTGTTAAAAAAATTTCTCTCATTTGCCATAATAATTTAATGCGACTTCCATTTTTGCGAACAAATGGTCTTTAAGCATGTCAAAGCTGAAAAATCTTTCTGTTATAAAATTTTGTTATGGCAGATGTAACTTGACAGCAGCCTTAGTAGAAAATAACCTATTTATGCTAATTGAAAAAACTAAACGCTTTAATAATCTGTGGCACTCTACTTAACGGCAAAATTCGAAAAATTAATTTTATTAACTTACACACAATAAGGCTCTATTATTACCTTAACTAAAAAAGCTTAGTTAAGGTAAACAAAATAATGACTTCTGTACAGAGCTTTTTCACGAGCTTACGGCACGTAAAAATTTTTAATCTACGTGATCTTGGAAAATAAGTTTTACATATCCTGGTGATCCTTCTAATGGTACTGCACAAAAAGGGCAAATTGCAATGTAGCCATTTGTACCATGTGGTATTGCAACTTTTTCCCAATATCTGTCAAATTGAACAAAAAAGTAGTTAATATTTGTTTTAATTACAACACTCTCAGAAAGACATTTAGAAAGGGATGTATGAAACTAATTTGCCTACTATAGCTTTTAAAATTATTTTTCTATTAACTATTTAAAGTATTTTGCAGTAAGGTGAGTCAGTAACATTGAACTAATATAAATCCATGTGCATTTTGAATATATTATTATTAGGTAAAGTTACATAATTGATATAGCCATAATTTCATTCTATTTCATTACTCTGAAAACTTTATTAATCAATACAAAAATGAAACTTTTCAATACTTAAAATAATAAGGTTATAATTATAATGGATCAAACTATACAATTAGGTTCTATAATATTTTAAAAATTAATATAAATAACAAAACATAATAATAAGCTATAATAAGTTTGTATAAAGTAGTTTATATTCCATTTATTAAATTAGATAGAAAATTAAATAATGTATTGTTTATTGACATCATCTATCTGCACGTAAAAAAAAAGAAAAATAAAAGTGTTCATGTTTTAGTTCAGTAATTAACATTACATACATATTCCTATGTAGTTATTAGTGATATTTTATAAAAAATTTATTTTCATTAAAAAAATAAACAATATATTTGAAACTAGTGTAAAAACTTAGTATAATGAACATCTAATGTATATAAGTATATAAGTTTATATGTATTTATTTAATAATCCTTTTTATTCAAAATTAATTTTAAGAAATGTTAAATTTCAAATAATATTATATATTTATATACATATATAAATAATGTAGATGATGTTATATAAAGTGGTGTCAAGCAAAAAATATATTTCAATTTGTTAGTTTCAATTTTTAATATTTTATATCTAAATAATAAAATATCAATGTTAAATATTTTTTAAAATATAAAATAAATGTTTCAAATGTTTAGTATATTTAATACAGTTATAATTATGACCCATTTACTTTATTTTATTTTACGAATAAGCACTTAAAAATTAAATAATTGTGCTTTATCAAAAATCTAATTATGTTATGAATTTAAAATTTTATGGATACTTTGTTATATGTATTAAATCTTACCGAAATACGTTTTTAACTATCCAGATATGAATCAATTAAAAATTTAATCGATAATTGTAGGTTTTAAATTATATTTTTAAAATCAATTTTTTTTGTCAAAAATAATCAAAGTTTAATTTTTGAAGCATCTTTAAATTGTATTACAACTTTCCTGTTATGTTTTCATTTTGGAGTTCATGAAAAGGTGAATTATTTTAATTTCATAAATTTATATTTTACTTTAAAATATAACTAACTTTATACAGTTCAAATTAATAAATCACGCATTATTTGGAGTATTTATTATATTTTGAATTTACATCTATATTAATATATCTTTATAATTTGTAAGATAGGTAATTTATTATTAAATCAATGTAATTTATATTTTATATAATTATTTTTTAAATATTCAGTTTACTTTAGAAATTATTAAATTATACATTTTTGGCTCGATAACTTAAAATACATTTGATTTTTTTAATATAAGCAAAAATATGTATTAACTATTAAAATATTAATTTCGATTTAATTTTTCTAATATAATCTCATTTTCACATAATTTGTAGAAAAGATTTATTCTTTTCAATACTTATTTACAATTTTTAACTAATTAAAAATTATTTGTATATACATAATTATAATTAATTTTCAAATTTATTGTTAATATATTTTTCTCCTTCATACGTTTACTTTATAAGGAATTTACTCCTGTATTACGAATTTTTTATTTAAAAAGTATCATTTAAAAAAAAGATGGTAAAGTATACATACTTTACAGTTTTTTCAGTAGCCATGTGCCCGCACGGACTAAATGCGTATGTCGGTGGACCACTGTCAACGTAAAATGCTGGTTCGATTCCCATGCAGAGTTTAACAATTGGACCTGCAACTAAACACATCGGACACCTTCTCGTGGCTTTATCTTTTTCCTGACCCCAGTCATGGTGACCCTGAACGTGACCACACTTAAGATAAACATAGGGTTGTTGTTGGGCGGATTCTGATGCAGCCTTTCGTGGTATGACAAGTGTGTTAAGACCAACAGGGCACTGTGGTCGACCAGCATTTATGGCATCTACTAATTCTTCTAAATCGTGTTTGGTCTAAGCAAATAAACGATATATTTTCTCAATATTTATGTCTAATTTCCTTATATATTATATACGGTAAATTATTTTTTATGTACTCATTGGGTTTTCATATCATTATTGCTTGTCATTAATTTAATAAAATAATTATATTTTTATTTTAATTGATATTTTTACTAAAATTTTTACCTCAACACTTTTCATTTACATTTAAAAAATTATGTTAATATAATATTAATTTAATAAAAAGATCATTTTTTTATTATGTTATCAATTATTAAACATTTTATAAATGTTGAAAATAATTATTTAATAATCAAAAATATATTTTATAATATAAACATATTTTCAATAGTAATATCTATATTTAATTAGAACTTATTCAATGAAAGTAATGATTATATAAAATAGGTTTTAAATAATACAAAAATAATTCTTTTAATTTATTCAAACTAAACACAATTTTAAATATAAAGAATTATAAATAATTCATAAATAACAAATTATGTAACTAGAACTCTTTCTAATAATGTGCAAATTTTTAAAAATTTTTTGTAAATATTAAATAAACTTGTATCAGTTATTAATGTTAATTTTTTAATACCATAGAATTAAGATAAAAATCATAAGTACACAATTTAATCTATAAATACTTACAGGAGATTTTGCAAGTCCCTCAGCAGACCTCCACAATAACGTAGCTCCACATAAGTCTATAAGAGTACCATCTTGCAGAACATTGTTTTCATCTTCAACAACGTTGCCTTTTTGCTGGGCACTTCGACTTTCCCGTAATGAGAAGACACCGCCGCCAACGCTCACTTCTCGCCAGTAGCCACATTGTGCTTCACCTCCACAAAACTGTCCACGTGGATGCATAATTAAAACGCCATTGGTCGTCAGTCCATCTATCTCTCTATTTTCTTGCCACTTAGTAGCTTTTTCCTGCAATGTACTCACTAATATTAGTATATTCTTAAGTTCTTTTTTTTAATTCATTCCTTGATATTGTTTTGAGACTTTTGGTCTGTATTATTTTAAGTAAGATATCAATTATTAATGGATTAGCTAATAGTTATTTTAATACTTGTATTTTGCAGTGAATATTTATGCATAAAATACATTATTAATTATTCAACAAATTTAACAACAGTTGGTGTTTAATTATTAAAATAATCTTACCCCCAAGAAAATATTCCTAGAGCTATCAAACCCAGCAGCAAAGATCCGAGCTATTTTTGGGTCAGAACGATCAGCAAGAATTCGACACGCAAACCTGCTGATAGTACTTTGAGCAACTCGACCTTCACTTGCAGTAACTACTTCGCTACCGCCAGGATAAGTATCCATTACAACAAAGTCAATTGGAGACTCTGAAGATCTCCCAATCTATTTTGATTTTCAAGTTTATCCATAAGTAAAATTAAACGTTTATATTATCTCATTATAAAATTTTATGGTAATAAAGATATATGTTTGAATTTCTATTTTAGTTTCACAATAACTAAACAAATACATGATAAGTATAAAAAAAATTATCTATATTAAAGTTAAAAAAACAATATGTTATTAAATATATTTTACTTGAAACATGTCAGTATCCTCATCTTCAGTGTATTCTACAATCACAGCTTGTGTTCTGGATAATGTGTAAGAAATTGAGTGTTGTTTTGTATTTAAAATGGCTTGAGAGCAATGAGGCGTTTTGACAACATAATGTTTACTACGTTTAACACCATTGGCCATAGGTCTCTTATACAAAACAAATTTACTTCTTCTTCTTCCACGGTCACCAGGTGGAAGATATCCATTGTATCTGTATAAATAATATATTTCTTTAATTGGTGATAAGTTTATTAACTGCAATTTTATGTGAAAAATTAAATCAAATTAAGAAGAAATAATGTATTGTTCAAATTTAATATTCAAATTATTATATAAAAATATTTTGAAACACTTAATTTAATTATGTTATAATAATTATATTTTTATAAAATGTTTGTTATATTAATTATCATTTGCTTTTTTAGACAATACATTATTATTTCTTTATTATCTAAAAATATAAAATTAATAAAAAATGAAACAATTCCTATCAATTTATTATTATAACAAAAATTGTGAATCTTTTTGTTTGTATTAAGGTATAAATAAGATACATTTTTTGTTATAACATTGTAAATTTTTTACACCATTGTATATAATTACTTTAAAATAAAACAAATTGGATTTGTGATCCACTTATTCAATAGTTACACACTTATACACTAAGCCATTAACCACAAATACAAGAAAATGTGTAGTTATTAAATCATCTTATTAAGTATGAAAATCAAAGTTTAAGAGGAAAAAAAATAAAAATTGAAAATGATTTGATTTTATATTATATAAATTACAGAACCAACAAAATTAAATAAAATATTTATTTCATGTAAAAATTTTATTTATGTAATGATATAAAAATATTAAAAATGTAATTTAAAATGATCTCAGATTATTTATATATATATATATATACTTCAAAGTGTTATGAACTTCATTTTAGATATAAAAGAATTTTTACCGATAGCAACTTTTAAATATCTGTATTTATCTTTGACTAGAAAAGATCTTATATTATGCTTATAAATGAACTTTTATTTTAAGCACAAGTGTAAACACAAAATATAGTTTAAGAAGGGAAATAATTTAATTGTATTAAATTTTTTCTTTAGTTTATAATTTTTACCCAAGAATGACTAGTTCTCCATATTTTACTGCCTGTTTAGGCTTATCATGGTGATGACTTTGTGCTCCATGGGGATGAGTATGACTATGACTATGACTGTGTTTATTGTGTGGACTATGTGGTTGGCCAACAGCCTCACCCTCTTCTACAACAAGTGGGCTTTCGCTGCTGCCACCATCTGACCTAGAATTGTAGAAAAATTATTATTAACTTATTTTATGCTTGTACTTAATCTTTTTAAATCTGAATAAGTAAATGATAAGACTTTTATTATTATATAATCATTAAGAAATATTTTTTTACTTTTGCTAATATTTCTTGTTAAATCTAAATTTAATTTGATTCATTTTTTAAAAAATAGCTATTCATATTACAAAAATATATTTTCAAAGAAAAACACAAATAGATCATATGTATAATAAATATACTTTTAATTTATTTATTGAAAATAAAAGAATATTAAAAATATACATTTAATATAATAAAAATTGTTAACTAGTTTTCATTAACTACAATATTAGTATTTTTTAAAAAATAATTATAATTATTTCTCTTTCTTTCATTTCATTGATAAATATCCTAAAATTATAAATATTTCAAATAGTATATAAGTCAAATACAAAACTATTCAATATAAAATTATGTAAAACACATTATGAAATATTAATATGCTGTATAATACCAATGAATAATACAGATTTTTTTAGAGTATACTTAATTAAGATTTAGAGTACTTGAATTCTATCACTGAAAAACAATAACATATAATTTAAATAATTGAATTTAACATAAATTAATAAAATTATATATGTACAAAGTTTAATTTTCATATAGGAAATAGTTCGATATAAACACAACAATATACTGATTAACATTTAATTTTTTACCATACTAAATAATTACAATTCATTTTTTCTTACAATTTTATTTTTGTATACATTATATAACTTTTATTATCATTAATTATATTTTTAAATTAAAATTATTTGGTAAAAACAATTATGCACAATCATATTGAGTAACATTATATATCTTACTAAAAATTGATTAAATTAAAAAACATTGATTTTATTATTATTAATATGTATAAGGTCATACATTAGTTAGAAATGTATACAGTATTAATAAGCTTATAAAAAATATACAGTTCAAATGGAGATGGACCTATTTTATTTAAATATTAAATTGATATATTCTTTTTAACTAAATATTCATAAATATTCCAACAGTTTTAACAATTAAAAACAAGTTTTTCTTTTAAAAGGAAATACAAAGAGTTTATCGAACAATAAAGCATTAATTTTGTTATTTGTTCATTTATGCCATTAATTGAATACATAATATTCTTATAATATTTCATAATATTGTATAAAAGTATTTAAATATCAATATTTTATAATTTTATTCAAATAAAGAAGAGCAGTTTTCTAAATCTAATATATTATATAAAAATGTCTAGATGAGATATTAATAAAAATAATGTCTAACATTTTTTCATAAAATTTCTTAATGATTAAAAACAAGGATGCTCAGAAAGTGTTTTACATAGTAAACAAATAAAATAAAATAAAATGGAAAATAAAATAAAATAAAATAAAATAAATAAATATATCTAAACATATGATTGACTAGAAAATGTGACTGATCAATCACTATCATTATAAATATTGCAACAAAAAAAAAACAAAAAATAAAAATACTGCAAGTAGAAATACAGATAAATAATAAGCAAAGAAACAAGGCAGAAGGATAAAAAACGAAGCGAATAAGAGCAAAACAGAGAGCGCTAGAGAACGTTATTTATTATCTTCTTACCGTATGACCATTGTGGGATCCGTGTTAGAGCCAATTTTGCCGCGACGATCGACACACTCCGCGGGAGCCACTTTGATCGTCGTTGACAACTAACAAGCTCCTCGGAACTCGACGATAATATCTTCTTGTTTTCTTGTTTAATGTAGCGCCTAAGCTGTACGATCAAAAATATCAGCTATGATATTCTTCGCGTCAACGCAATGATGCTATATCGACAAGCCAACGTAAACTTGCGCACAACATCCTTTAGCGCATTGGTTAATACATTCGCGGGCATTATAAATGGTACAATGATAATAAAGTTATCTGCTCTGCTATAAAATACAGTAGCGTCCATTTTATAGAACAAGCCAAATGTATTTTTTATTATTAAAAGGTTTCTTTCATAAATTATAGTGAATAGCAACAAATATGTATATGATTATTACAAATAATATTATTTTATGGAAATATGAGCTCTGACAAAAGAATTACCTTATAATTTGTTTATTTACAATTTTCAATAGTGTAAAATTTATATCAACTGTGTCTTCCCTTATTACATTATTCGTTGTCCAACGCAGTTATGTTATATAATCATTATAAAGGAAGTCTAACGTTTTCCATATAAAATAAAAATATTAATAAAGGTCCCATTTAGATATTTATATTTAAACTAATAAATTTAAAAAATTAAATTATTTTTGAATGTAGAATACTAAGTAATTATAATTAAATTATACACTAATTATATTGTACTGCTAGATAAAAAATTTTAATTTTAATTTCTAACTATAACGAATTACAATAATTTTTATAACTACGGTAAAAATGTAGTTAAAACAGCATAGGTAATTAATTCTCAATACAAAACGTGCATGATAAGGAATGTACAAAAGTGTACGAACCAATAAATATATGATTCAGATTATCTCTTTCTAATGCAGAGTTAAAATTGAAGATATAAATTGAAGCCCACGTTCATTGGTTAATATTTCAGCGCATAGTATGAATTTACTTCCGCATTATGCAATCTCGGAAATTGGCAAACGCATCTACAACTTTCAACTAAGTCTTTCTTTATTCTATTATTATTGCATATATGTAAAAAGATTATTATAATTTAATATAAAATGTACTAATCATTTACTTTTTCTATGTATTGAATTACCTAAGGTACACTCAAGACAATGAGTAATTGATACTATTTTAGCATCTAATTTAAATATTTAAACGAAGAATGATGATTATGGCTAAAAAGTAGTTATATATGCAATAATTGTATACTTGTAGAAATAGACAATATTTGAAAAAGCAGCTCGGATACAATGTAGCCGTACATATACGAATTCAACTAAATATATGATTTTAGTATGATGTATCTTCAGAAGTAAATATTTTATTCTATTATTTGAATTAATTATCACACTAAGTGTAGAAGCAATTAAAAAAATCTTGCTATCACAGTAATCACGGTTTTATTTTTCTAAGTATTTTACCATGATGCTTCTTATTATTTAGTACATACATTTTATTATATTCCAATACAATTTTAATACAATTAAAATTATTTAGAACTGACTAATTTGTCAAGATAAGTTCCCAAACTTACAATACCAAAGTTAATGAAGTCAATTTTTGTCATAAATCATTCCTTTTTTTATTTTAATAATTACAGTACTGTAAAAAGTATGTTCATTAGTTGCAAACATATAATTAAATCTGTTATTCTATTATTAACCAATGCCAAAAAAGAATATGAAAATGGAAAAATCTTAGGTGCACAAGGTGGAATCGACTTCATTCTAAGTGTTGATACATTATTGTATAAAGGTTAGTTTGCGCAAACTCAAGCTCCATATATGATTTCTAAACTATTTTAAAAAACACATCAACGCACACACAGAAAACATATATGCCATGCATAAAAAAACAATTCATATTTTATGTAAAATTAATATTTGGAGGAAAATAAAAGAATTTTTATTATTCTATATATATGATCTGCCTGAACTATTTTACAAATTGTATAAAAATATAATTTATTTGAATAATATTCTCACAATATTTAAGTAATCATTGCATACCAAATTAAAAAAATCCTACTTTCAATTGGTTAAGAAACTAAATGACAAAACTTTTATTGTATAATATTTATTTCATTTAATTTTTGGCAGTTATATTTTATAAACGAAGGCTGATACAAGTTTTTTTTAATATATATAATTAAATTTGTAAAGATTTTGAAAGTTAATGATTAAGAAAGAATGTTTATAACTCATAATAATAAAAATTCAATTTTAGGATAAAACTTTTTTTGTACTTTTACTAATAAATTAAATTTATAATTTTTTTTTTATTTTAAAAGTTTATAGAAATATTATCACTCGTAAATAAAGACTATTCGCTAATCGAAATCTATCTATTTGTATTTACAAATTGTACCATCACATCATATATTAAACTCAAACCCTTCAAATGTAATAATATTAAATATCATGAAGCTAAGCAAAATATGATTTTATTGTAAAATACTTAAAATTTTACAAAATTTAAATTAAACCAAAAGAATAATTTTATTTTAATAATAATTTACATATACAAATTACAAATTATATATATGTTTTTTTATATAATGTTATTATCATTAAAATATTCAAAAGCTTAAGAATATATAAAATACAAAGTTGTTTCATGATTCTTTTCGTTTTATTTCATTTTCATCATCTAGCACGCACAAAAGCTAAAATTTGTTTTCATGTACAATTATTTGAATTCTTTGTGACAATTGGTTAATTGACCACTTAAAAAATCTATTTCGTTACTTTTAATTTTCAATAAAATTATTTAATAAAAGCAATAACTAATATTTGTACCATATATATAAATTAATGCTACAGGTACATAATTATCATGCATCCTAATTATTTGCATAAATAAAAAGCATAATATATTCAGTAAGATTTTAATATATTACAATTATGCTGAATTTTACTAGTTCTGAAGAAATTAAAGTTATTTATTGTTATATAAAATAGATTAGAATAGATTTTTATATAACATTTTTTAAATACATTATATAATGTTCTGAACAAAAAGTTTTAATCAATATTTTGAAAATAAATATCAAGTTTTTAATATTCATAACACACGTTTTATATTTATATTGTAATTTTCATATTAATCAGTATATAATCAGGTCTTAAATAATGATGATTTTTAAAACTTCGCGAAATGTTTTTACAAAAGTATTACACCTATTGAATACGTGAAAATATTTTTAAATTATGCATGTCATAACTGTAAAGAATTCACAAGAACTTTTTTACTTTGTTTAACAATATAGTTTATTCAAAATGTGTTTCATCAAATTCGTTTAACTTTACATAGTTTAATTACTAGATAACAAATATTTTATAATATTATATAAAAATTTATCAATACTTTTTTTAAAATACTTTAAATATTTTTTTCATGTCGAATAGTATTAAAAGTTCTATAATCGCTGTATTTCAACCATACATTTTATTGAGGTCATTTATTTGGTGCAATAAGTTTACTTTTTAAACGATACATATAAATAAAATGTGTATATAAATAAAAAATATTTAAATTAAATGAATATAGATTGGAATTAAATATTGAAAAGAAGTAGGTCGTATTATAATCGTATTATAAAATTAATTACATTTAATAAAATGAATTCATTTATTTATTTGTATAATAATTTTAAGAGTTTATATAAATTTTAGCTCATGCTAATGTTCAATATTGATAAAAGGAACATAATACTCAAAATTTCTTGTAATGAATCAACGAACAATGACAGAAGAATGATTATCCTATTTTTCTCATTGAGTTATGGATTATAGATTATATTGGGTTTAAAAGATAAAGAAAATGAACATAGTTAAAGGTAAGAAAAAGAGTAGTTTTATACTAATTGTTGTATCATTGAAAATATGGTAATTATATGAATTATAATATTGAAAATTCATTTTAGAAGAAAGACGTATCAATTACAACAATTTTCAGAGATTTTAAAAGATCGACGATCATATAAAAAATAATAATTATGCGGTTTATTTTTTATTTTTGATACATTACAATAAAAGGAATATTTTATATGAAATTAAAATTTTATGCAGCATATATTAATAAGTTTATCACATGTTGTTCAATATATAATATAAAAAAATTAAAAAGTAAAATATGAAATTTTGAAAATATGAATTTCAGTTTATTTTCAAATTTTGTGTTTATGTACAAGAGAACTTTTTAATATTATTATTTTACAATACAAGAATTCAAATTATAGTAACAATTTTTGTTCAAAGTACAGTAAATAAAATAACATTTTAGAATATCAATTCTGTTTATTGTAATAAATAAAATTTATTATTAATTAATGAATTTGCATATATATATATATATATATATATATACATGTAATGAATTCGATCGTTTTTAAAATTGTCAATTATACACAGAAACAGTACTAACTTTTAGCAGCATTTGTATTTTCTAAAGTTTTTTCACTAAATGTCATAAAATATAACAGCATTTAAAATATTCGACTCTATTGTTAAGTTAAAAACAAGTAATCGCTCAAGGCGCAATATAATTTATACTATTTTTCAGTTAAATAAATGTATATAATACTTTTATAATATTGAGATAATACTTCACTTTCAACGTATAAAATAAAATATAATAAATATAGAAATTGTAATTTAAATGTTGAACAAGTATTTATTAAATCTGTCATTGTTTATTAATTTCTCATTAATTTAAATATTATCCAAAATATTTAAAAATAATAAAGAAATCTATTGCCAGGGCAAATAAGTTTACAAAACTTTCTATTTATACATTTTTTTTATATATTTATTGTTTCATTAAATATTGTAACGAAATTAATAGTGTTTATATAGACAACAATTAAAGTAAGAGAAAGAAAAAGGAAAAATTGGTTGCTCAGATAACGATTAAGTAATGGGAACGTTAAGTTCAACTAAAACAGTGGACGTACAATGTGGACTTTTAAAAACGAGACTAGCTGGTTTGTACTTTGTTGTATTTGCATATAGACTCCGTCGATGTACATGGCTAATGATAAGAAGCAAAAAATAATTGCTTTTGACATAATTAATGATGCTTGCATATATGCACATGCTAGTTCATGCGACACATGATTTGCTTGGACGCTGAAACGGGATCAAAAGCAACAAGAAAAGTATGAGATAAACAAAGATAGATGATGTCAAGCATATTTGACGTAAATTGAAACGCATACACGCATGCTCGATTGCAAATCTTGAAATAATTCGAATATGCGATGAGGAGCCTTGATAATAGGTCGGAAACGCCAGACGTGCGCATTGTAAGCATTTGTACCGCGGAAGTTTAAAAATTAATGTAAGGAATTTTTTATTTTTATATCGGTTTAAAACTTTCATTAAAAACTGTATATTAAATTTATAAAATATTTTCATATACCTATATAACCGAGACTCATTATTATAGACTTTATGACTTTAATTATTTTAAGACAAAAGCTTTTTCAAAATAATTATATTCACATTTATTCTTTTTAATATGGGTATCTTTTCTTTAATTTTCAATAATATATTTACAAAATTTTCCTGCTTTGTGAAAAATTTCAATCTTTCTTTGTTTTTATTATAAAATATAATCTCTTATGTGCTATTATTTTATAAATGAGATTTGTATTAAATGATTGTTTACTATATGTATGTGTCACACACTTTTGTAAACATATATAGTATGTTTATCTTTATTCCTCTTGTACCATTGATACTTTGAAATTATTTCTATTTACATATACCAAATCTAATTATTAAAGAGTTCTTTTGGTTTGCCATGCAACCAGAAGATTATACGAAAAGTATAAAGTAAAGCCATGGACTTGGGATGCTGTAAGAATAAATCCATACCATAAAACACCGTATGGAAGTTCCTACAAATATTAACACAACTTAATTTTAATTAATAAACATAGGGATAAATAAATATATAAATATAGTATAAAATTCATAGATAATACCTGCCACATTTGAATATCTTGAGTATTTCCAGTCGACAAATATTCATAAACATCTTTAAAATAATATATAAATCCAAATACAATTGATCCAAAACCCAAAACTGCAATGCCAATCATATATTGTTGTAGTATCTTGATTTTGTTTTTCCTAACTGCTGATAACCCAACGAATGATAGGAACAAACTTGTGCACCATATATACTCCCACCATAAAGGCTATAAAAGAAAAATCAAACTATTAGAGAATATATGGATAAATAAATTAATCTATTAATTGGAAGATATGTACTTGCGGTACTTGAAGCTCTTCTATTTCTAAAATAAATATATTTAATCTATCTAAAATATCAGCTGACAATTTGGCCAGCATAATAAAGAACAATATGTAATGAAAAAATATACAGTATTTCAGTCTTGATTTATTAATGGCACTGAAATAAAATAAATTAATATAATTGCGAATTTTCATTAAATAACAAATTTTGTGTTGCCATTACAATAATTGTTTTTGTAGAGAAATATAATTAAAGAAAGTATTCAGCTCTGAGACAAATGGTTACATGATTATAATATGAATCATTGAATAATTATTTTGCAACACCATAATGATGAAAAATAATACAATTATTCGTACTCTTATAATTAATAATTTACCTAGTTTGATAATGTGTCGCGATTTTCTGTCGGTGATGAAAATCGCTTCCATCTGTACCGAGGGCTTGCTGCAATGTGACTTTTGAAGCCATGGTATTATTTTTTATTTTCCCGTTTCACTTTCTCTCTTTTTCTTTCTCTATCCACTAATATTGAAAAGGGTAACAATGTACTTGTAAGATGAAAATATGTTTCTTAAAAACCGCACAGGTTTCGAAAAAATACTAAAATTCAAGGTAAAGAAAACATCCCACTGAGTAGACATTCGCATACTTACATTATTAACTATTTTTAACCGTGTAACGAACATCGTATGCAGTGTCACGAACAGCTCGTGTCATAGCAGAACTCAAACCTTTTGCTTACCACGGATGCACAGATGCTTCAACATCTAAATCAATATAGATGTGTTCTTATTAAATTAGGGATAAGTAATATTTATAAAGTGTAATAAATGTAAGCTTAACATCATAATATACTTTTGTGTAGATACATTCTATTGGATTCATTAATTTATTAATTTTTGGTTTAATAATAAGTAATATTAACAATATAGTAACAATCAATTATAATTATAAGTATTAAAAAAGCACATTTTGATTCGTTTAAATTTACTTTTAATTTAAAGAAAAATTTAGTTTAATTTATGATTAAAATATAATAATTTATTTCAGAAAATTATGAGAAAAACATTAACGTATTTCAAAAGTTTATCTAGATCGACTTATTAAATTTTCAATTGTTATTCTTTAATAAATATTTTAAAATTTTCAACATTATTTAATGTGTTTTTAGATAGCAACCAAGTTTATAAAATAAGAGCGCGAATATTTAATTTAATAAATTATTGATACGTATATTTGGTGCAGGAAATGGTTGGTTTCTCTAAGTGAATTAAAGAACCTATTTTAACAATTAAAATAAAATACTTAACTTTTTACAAGTTGAATATATTCTGTAAATAAATTTGATTATGGAAACAAATTTCTAACACATAATTCAATAAAATATAAATATAAAACATTACTTTAATATGAACAAGTTCTTATCGTATGATTAAAGTAAGATTTTTTAATGTGAATGAACAAGAGATTTCAGTTGTATAAATTTGTAAATTATTCATGTTAAAAATAATTTTACCAATGTTGAGAAAATTAAAAGCGGAGATGAGAACGAACTGCGATTACGAATAAAAATAAAAAGTGTACTTTTTCTAAAATTACCAACTATTTAATTTATAATATATTTTAAACTATTGTAGATTCTATCTCGATATTTAGATTTAAAAATATCATAATTGATAAAGTTTAACAGTTTAATTAAATAAAATAAATTCTATTTATTTACATAAACAAAGGGATAAATATAATATTTTAGTTAATATTTTTTACCATTAGATGTCTCTGAGGCCTGAGTATTTGTGAATATAACATAACGTTTCATTGAAGCTGTGTATCTTGTATAATTTGATTGATTTATATGATTTAATTTAATTAATATTTAGATCTTTCAATATTAATTATATAAAAATATGTTGAATAAGATTTTACGACCCATTGCACAACGTGCACTACTAAAAGGTAACATTTCTTGTGTTTTCAGTCTTTGTCTTTTTTTAGTTATATAATTCATCGTCGTCTTTTAGTTGCATAATTCATTTTACGTACATCTTATTTATTTTTCATATCGCTTTATCAAATGTTATACAAAGACTTTTTTAAAATTTTTAATATAATTTGTACTTATTAAAATAATTTTATTTTGTCCATTTATATTTATTATAAATTATAAAGTTATTAATATATCAAATTTTATTTAAACATTGTCTTGTATTACAAGAGTTATATTGTGATATTATTAATTCTATGCTACTGTCTTTTTATTTTTTTTGTAAGATATGTATATATTTAATTCAATCTATATATTTTGATCTAGGAGTTAGCCCATATTCACAAATTCATGCTAACAAGTCAGAATTTGATGATGCTTTTAAACCTGAATGTTCATGGGCAGAAATAAATAATAAAAAGCAAAGATTTAGAAATGCATTTCTTGGAATCAATGCCATAGTTTTCCTTTTATCAGTTGGATTTGTAAGTAATTTATTATAAATGAATTATACTTTGAAAAATTTAATTAATAAAGTATTTTAAAAAAATTAATGTTTCAGACTTTCAAGTATGATTTAATCCGATTTCATGTTTACCCTAAAGATTTAGAAGATTAAAAACAAATAATTCTAGTATCATTAATGTAAATGTTATAGATTCATTAAAATAATTATGAAGAAATGGTAATAATTATTTGCTATATCTTGATTTTTATTTGTTTAAAAATTGTATCTATTAAATAAATGATTTATAAAAATGTTGTCTTTTTAATAAATCTTGTAACATGAATTTAATTTTTATTGAAATTTATTAATATGTAATTCAAATACATAGTATATTTTGTATTGAATAAATTTACAACCAATTATTTGTAATATAATATACACCTGAAACAATTAAAAATAGGTTAATGTATAATATTGAAATCAAACATATTCAAATTATTATATAACTATCAATATTCAGTAATAAAAAATAAATCTTTATGATTATGTGTAAAATCAATAATAAAAAATTAATATTTATTGATTATTTGCAAAAAAGCAGCTGTTTTACAAACGTAGATTTTTTTAAATATCAGGTACACGTGATCGATGATAGTGATGCCTGAGTATTTAAGATTATCCAGCTAATAATTGTTCTATACATATATGGGTCATACAAACGGTTTAACTTCATTGCAGGAGCAATGAATATCATATGCGCATGTGTTGCTACTACCTCTATCTATTTTACGGATATTTAAACAGCTTCTTAATTCAATTTGATAGTATTAACTAAAAATCCTTTTCTAAAGCAACTTTATTAACAAGTTTCCAAGGTATGTTTAAAGTTTGTATGCATTTACAGAAATACATTATAACTCATATTAGGGTTAGAATTGCCGGAAACTCTAAACAAAAATATACCTTTCACTTTGTAAAATATAATTTTAAATAATTCATACGAAGAATAATAATTTGTTTTTGTACTGATTTTTCATAAATTCTATATATGTACAACGTTAATGTGTTTTAAAAATTATTTTCATTAAATAATTACTTAAATAGAAACATTTAATATTTTTAAATTAATTTTTTATTCAAATTAATCTTAAAATATACACAATTTATATGGATATATAAATTGATGTAAATTATAAATTTTTAGGTAAATAAAAATATTTTGTATTAATTTATCAATTATATAAATATTTTAAAGATGTCAGGTGGAAAGTGTAAAAATTGTGGCTCAACCAATATAGAAACAGATCCAGCTCGTGGAGATGCAGTTTGTACAGAATGTGGTTTTGTTCTGGAAGATCAAATTATTGTAAGTGAAACAACATTTGAAGAAACTGCTGCTGGTAACATGATGATGCTTGGTCAATTTGTTTCTAATGAAAGTTCTGGTGGTGCAACAGGCTTTGGAGCAGGTAAAAATATTATATTATATATGTATTAAATTACTTATGATTAATCATATTTTGAAATTTAGGATATCTTGTAAGTGGTAAAGAATCAAGAGAAATTACTTTACAAAATGCACGTAAAGGTATTACACATTTATGTAGACAATTACAGTAAGTATTATTAAAACTATGAAGTATTTCAACATGAAAAATTTTAACTTAATTGTTTATTATGCAGGCTAAATCAACATTGTATTGATACATCAGTTAATTTTTATAAAATGGCATTAAATCGACATTTAACTAGAGGACGAAAACAAGCTCATAATCATGCTGCATGTGTTTATATTACCTGTCGAACTGAAGGCACAGCACGTATGTATATTTTATATTCTAATTATTTATCAAAAATAAAAAATCTTTATTGTAATGAAACATATTTTACAGATATGCTTATTGATATTAGTGATGTGTTACAAATTTGTGTACATGAACTAGGAAGAACATATTTGAGATTTACTCAAGCATTATGCATTAATATACCTTCTATGGGTAAGTTATATTATATACTTACGACTATAAATTTTGTAATTATGTATTTAAAATTTAAAATCGTTGCTTTTTTTTAAAAATTAAAAAAAAAACATATCACCTATTTTTTCATTAAACATAATTTTTTTTGGTGTTTATTTAACTATAACTACATTAATGTGAAAATATTTATGAAACATATTTTTTACTTAATATAGAATATATATTTCCATTCGTTCTTGCAATTAAAACTATTTATTGAAATATTTTAAAAGAATTTTTGTAGGTATTAATTATTTGTAGATTATTTTTTATATTACCTTTATTTTTTTAATGCGAAATTTTAAAGGGCTGTAGAAATAATAGAATGTAAATGTATGTTTTCAAATTTTTATTTTGTTTTTCTGGTGCTTGAATATTGCATGTGTATATACATGAAAAGAAAGTATTCACATATTTATTAATTGTTTAGAAAATTAATTTAAATTCTTTACAGAATTATAGGCAATGAAATATATTAGTATAAATCAACCAGTTCAAGTAATATAGTATATCTTTTGGTACTTACAGATACTTTATTACATTTCCAAGTACTCTGTACTATAATACATAGTTTTTAAATGTTTACGTCTCTCTTTCAATTAAAAAATTTCATATTGAAATTTTTAGTTATAAATAAAAATATTTTTGCATAAAATCTTTAGTATTTTCCAAAAGTACTATTAGTACTTACTAAATATATTTTCTAAAAGTGTTGATGCACTTCGATATTAATATTTATAAATTCTACAATAGTAAGAGCTTATATTAAAGGACTAATTTATTTTATATAACAAAAACAAATAATATATATAATTGGGTAAAAAGTACGTTTGTTTACAATTAAAAAAATATAATAATCAAAAACGTTATATACGCTAGTACTTTTATAAGTACTAATAAGTAATTTTTAACTTAATGCAAGTTTTAATTAACAATCGTACTGATGTATCATTATAAACTTAATTATGCAAATATAAATTTGGTATGAATTTGAAAGATGGTTGTCAAGGGTTATTCTTTAAGTACAGAGTAATACAGTAGGATTTAAATGCTGCTAATAATATAAATTTCGAAGTACTATAGTTGTAACATAAATGTACAGTATTTATTTTATTAAACTAGTGAATAACGTGATCACATTAGTGAAAGTTACAACATCAATGTACAATTAAATTAGCAGAAAATGCAAATAAAACATTGCAGTAATTTGGTAGCTTACAGTACAGTTTATAAAGGGCGTTTATTTGTTTGTGTTGTCTTAATTAAAATTAGGCAGTATAATGCGTTCTCTATTATTAACGATTTTGAAATATTTTATTACTTTTCATACGCATTTCGAATTTATTATACATCTATTATTCATCATGGAAATATATATTTCCAACCAATATGGTGTTATAAAAATTGTTTATTAAGTTAAATATACAATTTTCAAGTTTCTCACATTGCTACGTTCAACGTTGCTTGTGGTGCTTGTAACTAATTTGCACAAATTATTATTTGTGAGTAGCTTTCGAATTTCGATAAAAAATTATTCCTTGTACTCGCTAATAAGGAAAGAAACACGAAAAATCTTTAAATAAGAAGATTCAATAGAAAGGCATGCAATTAAGAACGGTTAACAACGCTACAATTTAAACAGGAAGTACACATAACAATAGTTACCAGTAAATTGTTTGTGGAATTAAAAATAAATATCGCGCGCATTTATGTATTTAATATTTATCAGAAAGAAATTGGAGTAAAAATCACTCTAAGAGAAATTCATTCAAAAGTTAACTAACATATTAAGTAAAATTTACTTTAAAAGCATACCTTCGGTCAATAAAGTAAAAAGTTGCTTAATTTTATAAATTTTACAACTACATTTAATGAGAGTACCCGCTTTTTAAAATGATTTTTATTCTGTACTTTTTGCTACGTACTTTATTAATGTTCAATTTACAAATATAATCGCCTCAAAAATAGAATTTAATTATTTTTGGCGTATTCAAAATTAACATATTTCGCTAATGAAATTACGTCATTCGTCTGAGGGTGGTCCATAAAATATCAGTTCTGGTATCTGTCCACCTTGAACACCGGTGCCATTCGTGCTCTCGGAGCTGCACTGAAATTGGAAAGTGACGCTGCCGACTGTTGCCTCAGACATACCCTCTTGGCCGAAGTAACTTAGTTCGCCCCCATCAAGGATCGCACTAGCCGTATAAAAGTTCTCTGGTTCAATCTGTATAGGATTCTCGAAGTATACGTGAAAGGTGTTACTCGAACCGTCGGAAAAGAATTTAGTATTATTCTCGGATAGAACACGACCAAGTCTCTTAAGTTCGATGCGAACATTGTAATCGGCTGCGCCGGAAGAGCTTCCGTACAGGCCGAAGCCGACAACGAAGATTCGCTTGTCGACACTGAACTGGATGGAATCACAACGGCCTCGGTAGCGCCACTGGTTCGATCTATATGCACATGATTGAAATCGATGACACGCCTGCGAAAAACATGAAATTTTAACAATTTTTTCTTTATGTGCATAGAATAATATCTAAAGTTTCTGGAAACTGAAATAATTTTAATATTCTAAGGGTTAATTTACTTGTGATTAATGATGTGAGATATATTTGAAGTTTCAAAATCTTTTATAATATTACTGTAATAATATTTAATAAAAAATACTATAATACTTATTATAGTAATAAGTAATAATTTAATACCATAAGAATTCTTATTTGTCTTAATCATAGATAATTTTTTATTCAAGTATTTTAGTTCTAATTATAATGGCGTTAGATGCAACAATCATTACCATTAGCATTTATTGATGACATTCACTATTTTTCTCATTTACCTGAGTTTTTAATCCCTGTCGGGGTTTAATAGGAAAGCAAAGTAGAGGCTTTGTACTGGCAATGAAGTGAAGAAATACGTCGATTGTTTCTTGCTGTGTGAGTATACCAGTTTGCGCTGCGCTATTAGCAAATTCTTCCAAACTCATGGCAGGAAGTCTAATTAAATTCAAAGCAGATCCTGTAATTAAATCCACAGCAATATTTTATAGCTGGGTAGCCACTTCCAATGACTATTGAAAATAAAGTATTTCATTGCGAACCTTTTTTTGTACGATGCTTACCCAATAGTCGTCTTTGATTGCTTGGAGTTGGTTCCAGATCTTCTCGTAGGCATTCTGCATGTGCCCACCTTAAGGCTGCGTTCCATAAATGAATTTCTTTGCAGTTTAAGGTTTCTCGAGAAAGCACCGATTCAAGCGTATGAATGTCTATTTCAACAAAACCTTCCGATCGCAAAGCCATTTCTGCCTACAGAAAATTCTTAAATTAAAACTATTCTCACATAATATTTTTACGAGTAACGTTACTCTAAAAAAAAATTAATAAACTAAAAATGTAATATTTTCAAACACGAATCTTTAATTATATCATAAATATTTGAATCGAACTATTTTAATATTTTTTTTGCTTATCTTTTATAATGTACTAAAGTGAAATTATAGAATTGTATATAGTTGATTTGTTGATTGATTTATTAATAATTAAAAATATATTTTATAAAGAAATAGGAAAATTTAAATTCTGAACACAATGTGTGGTAAAAAATAATAAATATAAGTATTGCTTAAAGAAGAATGTTTCCTAGGAATAAAAATGATCTAGAGGCATTTTGTTTAAAAAAATTACTATATTTTAATATTTTACTTTGTAACATCTTAATAACACTTCACGATATAATTGCAATTTTAGTATTCCATAAAATGAACACAGCCTTATAATATAATCACAAATATTAAAAATTATTCTCTTATTAAATTATCGATGAAATATTTTATGAACATTTTGTAATAATCATATACATTACAAAATTATGGATTACTATCCATTTTTCAGAATTTTTAGAATCCTTAAATGTAATTAACCTTAATTCGCAGTTGTTTACGTGTAAAGAATATTATTTCGTCCGATTTAAAAATATTCTACATTTATAACGTGAATGAATTTAATCAGTAATTAATTCATTACTTAAAATTAACATTGAATCCAGCATAGAGTGGACGAAACGAACCCCGAGATGCAAATACGTTTTTTCAAATTTAAGTGTAATCGTAGAACGAAAAAATGACAATTTAACAAATTAAACGCTATAGAAATTATGTCATTTATTTTTAAATAAAATCAATAAAGCTATTTATATTATTGTAAATATTTTAGATACTTTATGTCTTTGCAGTTAAATTCTTATTTTGAATTTCTATTTCTATTGTTATAATTCGAGCACATTAAATTTTATTTTACTGTAACAGTGAACCAGTTAAGAAAAATTCAGTGATTTTTATATATATTATGACTTCGTGCCATATTGTTTAGTTCTTCGCAATTATCGCAGTAAGCCTCAATATCGAAATTATTTTCACTATCTTTGCAATCTTCCGTAAAGCTATCTTTATAAGTAATATTCTGAATGACCTCAACGTCGAGCCTTCCGTCTAGGAAATAGGGTTCGCTTCTCGTACGACTAAGCCCGAATTGCCTCGGGGGATTGTTCAACTTAACATCAAAGAAACAATTGCTTTCAGATAGACTTAAAGGATAAGATGCAAATAGGAGTTTGTTACAACGCAAACCCTGAAAGTCGCCGTAGCTCGAACCCAGAACTTCGTCGTCTATTTGTTGGCCTTGCCATCTTTGCAACTGATTCTCGGATAAAGAGTCTTCTTCGGAGTTCCAGCTCAGAGCGCGATATATACATTGATTCTCGCAGTATGGAACTTGTCGCTTTCCAAACGAAATTGATTTTAGAGTTGGACTTACTTGGGCATCAATAACCTCCCAGCAGCGTTGCATGAGATCAGGTTCTTCGAATAATCGGGATTGGCTCAGTAGTAGACACGCATTTTTGGCGTTTAAACTCGTTTCTAAAAAAGTAACGCAGGCGCGGGCTAAATGTGGAACGATGTACTTTTTTGCAACATATAACGTTGCTAATACGGTATCAGCTTCAAGTTTAACATCGTCACAATACATGTATCTGTAAAATTATCAATACTTTTTCAAATAATTTTATTTTCAAACACTTTAGTGTTTTTTAAGTTGCTGAGAAATTTCAATGCTTTTATTTAATTTAACAAACTTTTAATCTATTAGTTTCCATTATTAATTAAAATTTACCTTAACAATGCTAAAAATGCATCAGGTTCTACATCTGGAACTTCTATTTCATTTTTGTTTTCGGCTAGACCTCCATAAAACATGGCATAAAAAACAGAGCTACCTGTGGCTAGTACATATTTATGTGCTGGGATAGTTTGGGTATGTCCTGAAAATTTTCATTTTATCTTTATATAGAAAGTTAACGTTTACTAGACTTTTCTTTTTTCTTCTTAATATTAATACTTTTTTTTCTTCATTTTTACATAAATTATCTACCTGGATTTCCAACAATGAATTGAATGTCAGCCATAAGTGGATTATTGAACATTGCTGCATTTCGTTCTCTTATTGTAGGCTTTGTAGCCTGCCAATTTGGATCTTGAGTACAGTCTTCCAAAGATAAAAGATTAAATGTTTGAATGATTGGTGAAGAAATAGAAGACAGTGGCGATGCTGGTATACTTAAAGGTTGACTAACTACTCCCTCACGTTGTAGAACTATTGAAGATATTGGACTGACTGATGGTGGTGATCCTGATACTGTGCTTGGTAATTCCGCTATAAATATGGAAATGAATATATGATTCAGTTTTATTTTCTTATTTATAATTTATTAGAAATTAGAAATCCATATAAAAGTAATTTCAATATAAATATTTGGTTTATTCAACTATCTATTATATATTTGTTATCAAGTATAAAAGAATTTTTTGATAAAATTCCATTATACATCTTCATATTCAGCAATTGACTTTCTTAATTAATCTTACATTTATTAAGATACAGAGCTATTTAATACGTAGGCTAATCATACTCGTGGGCATATATATATATATATATATATATATATATACGTAAATGTTATACAGCATGACATGCTTATTCAGAAAAGTTTTTTTTTTCATGTTTCATCTCCCTCCCTCCTTCTTTTACATACACATGCGCACGCCTTGTTATCAAGAGCGAAGAAATGTGAGCTTTTGAACTAGAAGACGTAAAACGTTAGTTTGAGCAGAGACAAGTGAAGCCAATTAGGGCAATGTAAGTTAATTCAAACGTTTATACCGTTGGTATACATCGAACTAACGAGGTGAGGGGTTATACATGTCTCTCGTTTTCTCTCTCCTCGCGTTGCCCCTTTCCGCAATAAGTGCTGCTGCTGTTGAGATGATTGAGAAGATGTTGGGTAAGATGTAGATGACGTTGAAAGCGGTGGATCACTCGACGACATTATCCGAGGATCGCTGCCTTTTTTCTATCTTTAGTTCGAATCAAAATTTTCAGCGAACTGTATCAAAGTTCTATCATCGCCTTTGTTTGTAATCTGCCCTAGTCACTAATGCTAAACTTTCCATTTATTTTCGAATTGCTTCTTTTAGTCGTCAAGTTATGTTCTGGTTCGACATTTCACGCTTCCTATGCGTGTAAGATGTGCTAGCGCAAGCGCAATAACACATGCCGAGGAAGACGTACGCTCTACATTGGTCCATTCAAGTGCTTCTTGTGTGCCTGTTTGCTTGGTATGCGGTGCGTGTGAGTGTGTGTGCCTGCTTACTTGATGCGTGGGGACTTGCGTGTCGGCGGCGGCAGGCGCATGCATACGTATGAAAAGCAGTTCTAAAGATTTTTTTCCCACCATGTATTTATGGTTATGTGATTGGATATGAATACTTACTAAGATTTTTTTTTATTCTTATTTATTTTCCACTGATTCGACTTTTCATGGTCTTATTAATGTAATTAATCATTTGTTATATTTTTTTTATTTGCTCCGAAAGTTATTAAAATTGAAATCTTCATTATAATTGTAAAACCAGAAAATGCCTGTATCTCTTGGTTTTAATTGATAATATACTTTATTAAATTTAAATTTATGAATTATTGGCTCAATCAAAAGAAAATAATAATAAAATTGCTGAAAATGTGGTACAAGTGGAATGAATTTAATTAATCGATTTTTGCTTTAAAAAAAAGCAGCTCTAAAAATTATAAATTAAGATCTCGAATTAAAGGGATAACTTGATCAATGTGTAGTTAGTTTGCTTTCTTTTCTGCGACATTAAATATTATTTACGTCGAGTGAGCGCTGGCGTCAGCTGAAGTGAACGAACTTGACATCTCGTATGAAGTGTCAGAAACAAAAATTTCTAGTCATTTCTTGATACCCACTTTGAATAAAGGCGCCGCGGAAATAGTACGGGTAATTAACATGATAATGCAAACGTCACCGAGCTTAATGTTCAGTGTGGCTGAAACGAGAACAAGAGGCTCATGATAGTTATTACGATGCTTACCGTTTACCCAGGCGTTTGTCTGGCTTACGGAAATGTTCTCTTGGAATCGCTTCACCGGCTTGGTGGCGATCTTCGAATAAAGATTTGACATGGCCATTGCCTCGGGGTTATCCCCCGACCTCGAATAATAGCAGCAGTAACCGTACGAGTAATGGTGGTGACGGCGATCTCGAATCCTCAGTGTCAGCGGCTCACCGAGCCGTCGGTGATGAGAGAATAGTCACACACGAGAGTCGATCACTGCTATACGCCAATGACTAGACTTGCTTCGCCATTTTCAGCGATCTGCGCGCGCTCTTTATGGTCGCTGTCGTTGATCTCTTCTCTCTTTGCTCCCCTCCTGATTGTCGAATACCCCTAACTCCCACCGAGCGACGCACCCCCACGGAAGATGCTTTTGTCATCGTTAACTAGCAGCTGTAGGACATAGATCCCATTTTCTACATAAACGAAGCAAAACCGGCGATTACTTAGCCATAGGATATACATTTTTATTGATTTGCTCGCTTGCAGTTTGCGCAATGTTGGGAATAATTACAATTATTTTAGTGCCTTCTATTATTTCGCTCCTATTTAATTTATTTTATGAATCCAAATAAAGTGTTTAAATATACAGCTGTGCATCTATTTTTTGGTGTTATTAAGCTTTTTATAATTTGTATATAATACATTTGAACAAAGCTGATATCAAACTAATATTTTATTATACTCTTAAATCTTATATATATGTATAGGCATATTTATGTATAATTACAGTATGTTATGAATATTAGAAAAGGAATATGCGTAACGTAGATTCATATCGTTTCTGCTCATTGGAAAAACAAATTTATTAGTGAATTTAAGATGTCAGATATAAGTCAGAAAATATTATTTTAATGATGTTAAACAGTGACTTCTTTACGTTTTTATATGAACTATAAAAATAAATACAAAAATCCAATACATTATTAAATTAAAGAGAAAATTTAATCAGTACACATTTTTTTAAATAATTTGAAGCTGTTTTGTTTTATAAAATTGTATTTTTAAAATATACTTTATAAGTTTTCTCAATATAGTTAAAAAAAATACAAATTAATTTAGTTTACATATATATATATAAGCTGAAAATTGTAATAATAATACTTAATCATACTTAAGGCGAATAAATAAATGTTTAATTGATTTAAAATAAAAAAAGTAAAATATGCATTCGGCATCATGTTTTTATTTAAATTTCTTAAATAAATTATTAGAAGGTTTTATATGCATCTTAATGCTACCTTATAAGCATTTCAAGTGCATTTTTTAGAATTTTATTTTTCAATTTTAAACAGATAAATTTTTTTTTCGAAAATCTATAAACAGGCATTGTCAAAGAAAGTGGTCAAAGTCAATAGTGCCGTGTAAAGTACACAAATTAGATTTTTTAATGATTTCATTATCTTGAAATATTAAATACGTTCTGCGATTATTACATAGTTTCAAATAATTTTTATTTAACCTGCCTTTTATACATTCAGAATAATTTGATATAATAAAAGATGGCTTATTCGTAGGTTTTGTACAGAAGCGCGTAGACGTGGGTCGTTTATCGCGCTGCTACAGTAGTCGATCAGCCTCTTAATTATATTTTAACTACTATTAATGAAATATATGTTTATTTCTTTAGATGTGAGTTTTAAGTATATTGATTAAGCTACACTGTGCTTACTGTGTTAAAAAGAACCGTTCAAATATTAAATTAAATTGTTATTAAAACTGATATAAATAATTATTTTATTTTCCAAACGAAATTATTTAAAATTTTGTATCTATTTGTTTTTCCTATTATTTTCTCCCTTGCGCCATTTTATTCATATATGTATCAAGCTTACAAAATCAGTTTATCAAAAACACTCATTCATTATGTAGTAATGAAGTATTATTCTTTAAAAGTTAAAGTTATGTACATTTTTAATTTAAATTATTCCCAATTTTGTTTTTAGATTATAGAAGTTAATGTACTGGATTGATTATTCCATTCTAAATATTAGAGTGAGATTAAAAACATTATATATAAGCCAAGTGCGGGAGAGGAAGGTAACATAATCTTTTACAATTTTTCACATTTTGTAGTCAAAATTTTATCTTCGTATCGAAACTTAGATTTGCTTTTAATAACAGAACTCTATTCATACATTGTCAATAATTGCATATAAAGTTTATGATTACAATTGTTGACGTCTCTTCGATGTAATTCGTTTAATAATAGGGGCTTCCATTGATTTTCTTGTAAGGCGTTTATTAAAGTGGGTTGTAATTATATGTTTAATTTAATACGTTATTTTTATTATTGATATATTTAATTTTTGTTCCACATACTTATATTGCTTTAATAATTAATTTTTAACAATTTTTTCATTATAAAAAATAAAAATATGATTCGTTATAAATAAAAAGAATTTATGTATGATTCTGATTGTTCACTTTTAAGGAAATAAATTTTATCGCATTTTACATGTCTTATATAAAGACAATAGATAAATTAAAATATGAAATTAATTTTTATATTTATTATTTCATAAATTGACAAATTTCTTATTAAGAAAGTAAACTATATCATAAATATATTCTTAGGAATCTATGCATTTTTATTACAGATCCATGTCTGTATATAATGCGTTTTGCAAATAAACTTGAATTTGGAGAAAAAACTCATGAAGTATCCATGACTGCTTTACGTGTTGTTCAAAGAATGAAAAGAGATAGTATTCACAGTGGTCGAAGACCATCCGGTTTATGTGGAGCAGGTATATTTAATAGTTTATTTATCTATATGCTTCAGAAAATTTTTAAATATCTAGAAAAAAATTATTTATAATTATCCTAATTACCTTAATTACTTTTAGCCTTGTTGATGGCTGCGAGGTTACATGAATTCAATAGATCTCCTAATGATATTATTAAAATTGTGAAAGTGCACGAGTCAACTTTAAGAAAAAGGTAAAATATTTCATATTTATTATAATGGAATAGCCCTTTATTGGCAAATATATTCTACATAGTTCCTTCCTTTTAATTTTATTTACAGATTAATAGAATTTGGTGATACTCCATCAAGTGCATTGACTTTAGATGAATTCATGACTGTTGATTTAGAAGAGGAACAAGATCCACCAGCATTTAAGGCTGCTCGAAAAAAGGACAGAGAAAGATTGCAAAAAGTATTTACATGCACACGCGTACATACATTAAATATATTTTCTTTAATTGCTATAGTGCAAGACGATCATGCCCTATTATTCCATATATTTCCCTTATTTGCATATTCTGCATCAAATTATATATAAAGTTGTGTGCTAATTCGTATTACGTATTTATTATAAAACCAATAATATATATATATATATATATATATATATTAGAGTTATGATAATTATTTATTTACCATAAATTAATAATATAAAGAATAAATTCTAATGTAGAATTTATTATTATAAGTCATAATTAGCATTATAAATTGTTGAATACAAAATTTTTTCTTAAAAGATGTATTCAATGAAAATTTTTATAGATAATATTTACATATAATTTATTTTTATTTATACACTGAATTTATTATTTAATAATGATTATCTACTAAATAATTTTATATTCTTATTTTAAAATAATTCCACTTCAGTTAGAAAATATCGCTAATGAATTCACTGAACTTCAATCGGAAATCGATCGGCAGTTAGAAGAGCAAAAATCTATAAAAGGAAAAACAAGAAATTGTAATTTATTAAAATTATTTAACATTTATTAATTAAATTATGAAATATAATATAATTTATCTTAAAAATATAGCATGTGCAGAAGAATTAGATGCTGATAGATTTATTAGAGAATCAAATTTAAATATTATTAAACAATGCGTTGGAAGTAATCCTGATGATTCAGATGATTTATTAATCGCTAATATACAACAAAATGAAAATTCTTTGGTGACTGGGCTTGGTAATTGAAATGAATTATGATTATATATCTATATGTAAATACATGCATCCATACAAAAACGAATTTGTGTGTGTATGTGCGAAGATATATAAGCCTTTAGAAAGGTCAAATTTGCACCAAAATTAAAAGAAATGTAATTTTTGAATGTAGGTCCTGACATAGCTTCAATGGGATTAACGACATCTTTTCATAATAAGGATAATATAAATAAAGAATCTTCTACATTGTCGTTTGAAAATGTAAAACTGTTTTATTTTACAATTTGATTTATATTACACAAATCATATATTGTATTCATTTATTATATTTTAAAAGTTAATATTTGTGTTTATGAAAATTTAGATGACTGGAGAAATTGATATTACAGACCTAGACGATGAAGAATTAGACAGTTACATTATGTCTGAAAAAGAAGCACAATTTAAAAGTAATTTATGGAATAAAGTAAATGAAAAATATTTATTAGAACAGAAAGGTAGAATTTCAAATTATTTATTTTTATACGTTTTTTAATTACTGTAAATTTAAAACGATACATTATTTAGAAAAAGAAGAAAAAAGACAAAAAGAAAAGGAAGAGGGTAAGCCGGAAAAGAAAAGGAGAAGAACTACCTCTAAGAAAAATAAAAATCAAGGGCCAGCTAATAGTGCTGGTGAATAGAAATTGCTTTATTGTTAACATATATATTTTTCATATATAATTATTTGATATTTTTCGATTTATATTAGGGGAAGCAATTGAAAAAATGCTGCAAGAGAAACGTATATCGTCCAAAATAAATTATGAGGTATTAAAAAGTTTAAATGTTGGAAATTGTTCTAAGACTCAGTCACAACATAAATCTGATGATGTATCATTTACTTCACCAAAAAAAATAGAAAAGAATGAAATATCGTCAGTTACTCTTGTATCGTAAGTAGTTCTTGTATCTAGTTAAAATAGTTATAATTTTTGGACTATTTATATAGTTTTATTTATTCTAAATTCTAAAAAAATTTTATATCTATATAATATTTAGTTTTATTTATTCTAAAATTGTAGATCCAAAAAGTTGCAACCGAAAGTATTAGAAAATAATAGGAAAACTCCAAATATCAAATTAGCTACACCTAGAAAAATGAAATTATGTCAGTTAGATACCGAATCTTCACAAGTCACTGAAGAATCTTTGTCAATGTCATATTATGATTGTAATAATGAAACTGGTATATATCTGTACATGCATTTAATTTTAAAGATATATTTTTGAAAAACAGTTTTTAAAATTAAAAACCATTACAATTTGTTATGTAATACTAAGATATAAGTATTATATTAACAAATATTCTTAACAAGAGTTACATAATATAGTTTAATTTGAAATTAGAAATAATTATTTAATTTATTATAGATGAAATTGATGATTATCTGGATGATGAAGTAGAACCAGAACCAGATCCTTCTGAAATGTCTGTTGGTCAGTTACTTGGACGACAAAATGAAGATGGCGATTATGGATACAGTTATGAAGAAGAAGATTATTAAAATGTTTATTTATTATTACCTGATAATGATATTTATTATGATATGTATAAGTAACTACAGTATATTTTATACTTTTTAAAAATTACATTTGTTGAAACATTTGACACTGAAGTCAACTAAAAGACTGAAAGGGTAAAAATATGATTCTTATAACTAAAATAATTATCTTCCATAGTATTTTGTATATTCCATTAAATAATCAAGAAAAGTTATTTTATTTTGTTACTTATTATATAAATTGTGTGTCATATTTATATTTAATTAAATAAATTATAAAACTATTAATATTTTAAGATGATTATTTAATATAGTTTTTTTATTTTTTGAGAAAATTTGATCTTGTTTTTATTTAATTACAGTAAAATTCATGATGTTATATCAGATATGATTTTTAGATTATAACAAAATTAATTTTTTTTTAAGTAATAAAATAATGTTTAAATATTAAGTCTATGATTTAATATTTATTACCACTAGTTGGTTGATCCAATTCAGTCTATGTATGAATTTTTGTAAAAACCTGTATTGATAAATTCTAAGCTGCGATATGGTTTTTATATTTTTACATTCATATTTGCGGTTATAAATTGTCCATTTTTCATGAAAACTGAACAAATTTATAAAATTTTATTAATATTATAATATATTCTTGTATACACTTAAATGTTTAAATTAAGTTTGATTCAAATGATAAAGTAATAATTCCTACCAAATTTAAAAATCATAAACCATGTAAGTACCCTTATTATTTAAAGATCAGATTAATTGTATGGAAATGTGATCAAATACAAAATTAAATTGTATAATATTTTATATTATTATTATAATATTTAAATTATATTTTGTAATTAGACACATTCGAGTTAAGGAATAGCAGACAATTTAATGCATGCACTTTGTTAATTTTCTTGCAACGCTTCAATGTTTGTATATAAAAATGAAGAAAACCATAAATTAAAAATTCAATTGGTTGCTGAGACTATATGGACAAATTGTTTTCATGGCTTAATTGTACTTACAATGTAAATGAAGTTAAGATGAAACTAAAATAAAAATTTGACTTATAGTAATGTTAGAAAAAGAAAAATGTAATAATTCTGGCTTAGGTTTCGCTTACAATACTACAATAATACTTAATGTTTTATTGCTATTCAGCCACTTTGTTTGATAATAAGCATAGGATACGAGCGATTTAGCTGCCATCTTTGAAAATCCCTTTGTTTCATATTATCTTCGTCTGCATTTCGAACTACTAATACGATAAGATTCTCTAATGTTCATTGCTTAAGTTTAAATTTTTATCTAATTAATTTACGAAGATGTATACAATTTAAGCGTTTAAAACAATGTGTATTAGCTATAGTATCTGAAAGCTTCTTTTCTGTTCTGTCAGGCACGAGTAACGTTGCTGTGGAAGGAAGGAGAACGGCTAATATAGTCCAAACTATCGAAAGTTCCGTTTAGAAAAAGAGAAAACTTATGTGAAACGGAAAAAGAAGACGACTGCTGCAGTTAACGACACTGAACATCGGGTACTAAATTAGTTTTAGGCGTTCGTGTTGCAAGCAGTTTGGCAGAACGGCGCGGGTTTGCCGGAATCCGAAACTTTGTGGCAAAGCAACAACGAGGTCGAAGATCATCGGCGATTGAAATTCGTCAACGAAACCATGTCGGAAACGGACGAATTGGAGGTAAGTCGTTAGGATGAATTTTAAGCGGCAGTTAATAATTTTTCTTCATGCAACGAATTGTAGTATTTGTAAAGAGTTAGTTGTTTTGCGTACTAATTGTATGATCGTGTTTGGGAATCTGGTTTTCACCTATTACAATTGCATGCAAACAAGTTGAATGAAATGCATCGTGGGGTTGTGTATGATATTGTAAAAAATTAACACTATTGTAAACTACTAGTATCACGGATAGTATGCACTTGTTTTTTCTTATTGCATTGTGGGTTATGTTTTCAACAGACTGTCGAATGCTGCGCACGATACTTCGTTAAAAAAATTATTTAAAATTTGAGTGCTATGTTTATGTTTCTTGTTGCCGAATGAAATGTCAGAATTACTCATCTCGCTTATTTTGTTCTCTTTATCTTTACATTTTATTTTAATGAAGCAAATGAAAATTGCTGATTAATAAATTTGAGTTGTAAATATGTTAAGGAAAGAGGAGCCGGTGGAGATAGGCTTGAGAAGAATACAGACGTTTAAAACGGAGTATTTCAAAATTTGAAAATATCTCATGCTTTTCGTTAATCTCTCATTCCCGAATAGATGAAAGTTTTATATGAGATCGAACCCTGTAATATATTCACATACGCTTTAATTTTATAAACCTAAAATTTTTGTTTGTGACAAATAGTATTAGATTTAGACAAACTTTTCAGTGATATCCATTCGTCAATGAAATGGTACTTTTGCATTCTCAAGTTTTTAAAGTATATATATATATATATATATATATATTTATTTATTTATTTTAGTTTTATTTTGTGTTCTGCTAAACAAATTTTATAGCTTTACAAAATTCTTGTTGATTTTGTTGAATGTATTCGTCAATTTAATAATTTACATACACAATTGCATATGTAACCATTGTTACAGAATATGGTATTAAGCTTCCGAGTTTCTGAACTGCAGATGCTATTGGGGTTTGCTGGTCGAAATAAATCAGGTAGAAAAAACGAGCTTCAAGCACGTGCCTTGGAGCTTTTACGTCTGAGATCGCATCCTGTACAATTAAAAATTCGTGAATTGTACAAAACTATACAGTAAGAATAGTAGATATATTTTTCTTTTTAAAGCAAATGAAAATATTGTTGTTAAATTTGTTTATAGAGCAGATCAACTTGCTGCACACCAAATGTATGGTCAAAGTGAAGGTGTATCCGAACAACAGATTGAACGAAATCTCTTATCTAGAAATTATTTTACAAGGTTTGTTATATAGATTCTTGATTAATTAATGTTTGAAACTGAGATATTTTGAAACAAATACATGTAGTAATATTTTATTTAGAAATCAGTAATTTCTTTATATATTAAAATTAATGTTAAAATGTATTTTGAATTTGGATTTTTAAAATTGATACTATCATTGAAAACGTGAAAAGTTTTTTTAAAACTGTGAGAATATTTTTTAGTTGTGTGGAAAGATAATTTTCTGTTTGAAGATGTATCTTTTTAAATGTCAGATCGAATTTTTTAAATTTGATAATCGAATTGTTAAATAATTTTCAATATTTTATTTAATTAGATATAGAATTGATTAATATTTTTATAGACAAGGTCATGCACAAGCTATGAGTCAACAACAACAATCACAACAATCTGTGTCTGCTACTAAAGATTTACCACCTGCACATCAAGCATCCATTCCACAGTCCCAAGTAGCTCAGAGGTCAACATCAGTTTATCAAAATCCTGGTTATACTAGTGTAACACCACAGGTAACAGATTTAAATGTAAATACCATTTTGTTATTTTAATTGCAAGTAACATTAGGACAGAATAAGCTGATTATTAACCAGATTGTTGACTTATTTGTAGACACGATCAACCAATGCACTGTATCCAAATTATGCTGCCTTTGCTCAACAAAAAGTTATTCCTATACCAACACCATTACAAATTCAACCCAATCAATATCCAGTTCATCCAGATGTTAAATTAAAGAAATTACCATTCTTTGATTTACTTGGAGAATTATTAAAACCATCAAGTTTAATGCCACAAGGAACAATGAGATTACAAGAAAATTCATTTGTTTTCCACTTAACTCCACAACAATCAACAGACATCGCGAGTTCACGCGATTGTCGACAAGGAAGTAAAATGGATTATACTGTACAGGTAAAATTTACTTAAATATATAAAAATTACTTTAATTTCAATTATTTATTAAATGTAAGAATTTTTTGACTTTTAAAAGGTACAAATGCGATTTTGTTTACAAGAAACTTCATGCGAACAAGAAGATTATTTTCCTCCTAGTATAAATGTTAAAGTCAATGGTAAACTGTGTCCTTTACCAGTAAGTCAAAATTAACTACCTAAAAAGTATTGAAGAATCTTTTTAGTATTTGCTTCAATTTTTAGAATCCAATTCCTACTAACAAACCAGGAGTTGAACCGAAAAGGCCACCTAGGCCTGTAAACATTAGTCCGTTAGTTAAATTATCTCCAACAGTAGGGAACCAAATTACAGTTTCATGGTCTGCTGATTATGGTAGAAGATACGCAATTGCTGTATATCTCGTACGGAAACTAACGAGTTCAGAACTTTTAACAAGATTAAAAAATAGAGGAGTTAAACATTCAGATTATACTAGAGGATTAAGTATGTATTCTTAACGAACTAAAATAATATTAGATAGAATGATAACGAGATATTAAATATACTAATATTAATATAATTCCAGTTAAAGAAAAGTTAAACGAAGATGCAGACAGTGAAATTGCAACAACATCTCTAAGGGTATCATTAGCCTGTCCTTTAGGAAAAATGCGTATGAGTACACCATGTCGTGCTTCAACGTGTTCTCATTTGCAATGTTTCGATGCGTCATTATTTTTACAAATGAACGAAAGAAAGCCAACGTGGAACTGTCCAGTTTGTGATAAATCAGCTTTATATGATAACTTAACAATCGATGGATATTTTCAAGAAGTTTTAAATTCAACTAAATTGTTGCCAGACGTGAATGAAATACAATTACTTCAAGATGGTTCTTGGGAAAATTTAGTGCTTAAAAAAGAAAAAGATAAAGACAAGAGTGATAAAATTGAAGTTAGTCCAAATCATTCAAAACTTGATATTGATGTTACAGTAGATCTTGGTAAGACATAATTTAATTATTTTTTAATATATGTTGTACACAATAAACTTAAAAAATTTAACTTAACTTTTAAAATTTTTAATTGACGAATATTCTAAATAGTAAACAAATTGTTAGTATTTAATTTTATTTATTAAATTATTATATTATATCATTTATATACATCATAAAAGCTTATTTAATAGTATAAATCTAATTAAAATTAAATTCATGAACTTTAGACAAATAGTTATTTAAACAAATCAACTTTATAAAAAAAAAATTTATGTTAAGAAAATACATATTTTATACATTATTTGGAATACTATAATATTAATATCAGTTTTATTTGCAGATGAAAGTAATCATACACCTTCAACACCTGCACTGAAAGAGAAGAAACGTGCACTTGTCATTGATTTAATTTCAGATAGTAGTGACGAAGATGATGATAATAGTATAACTCAAAGCTCCAATAAGAAACAAGCTGTTTCTATGTCATCAAAACCACAGGCTAGTGCACATAGTGCTATAAGTAGTACAAGTGATTCTCCTGAATTAATGATAATTGATTTAGAATAAGAATGAAGTTTATATTTTATTTTCGTGAAACATGGAGTTTACGAATGAAAAGATATACACACAGAAAATACAAATTGCTGTGTATCATTTTGTATAATTAATGTGAAAAATGAGCAAGATATTAAATTCTATTATATTTGTAAGTTAAATATTAAATTTATTTAGATTTTAAAAGAATATAAAATATTTAATTTTACAAATTAGTATTTTTAGTTTTTTAATATTGAATTAGTAGTATTACCAAACGTTCATGTCGATCGAATTAAGATATGTTTATGCTGAAATATATACTTTTTTTTTAATTATTAAAATGTCTTTAACTAATTTTAATTATGTTCACGGGGATGATGAAATAAGAAGCATCATATATTAGTCAGTTCATATAATTTATTATTAACGAATGAACATATTTTAATAAGAATAGCGTACATACAATTACATAATGAATTAATTTTTGTACACTTTTTTAACGACTGAAATTCTTTAGTCGTAATCGAAGAAAGGCTGTGGCGGAAGCATGTAGTTACCTTTTCGAAGGGGAATGCTTGAGATCTGACGATCTAACGGTTCGCGTGTATCATATAAACTTGGCGCTTGACAAATTATACCTGCGGTTCCGACAATACATGCTAATGTAAAAATCCAAAGAAACAGTCTGTCTAATACCATTGCTACGAATTTCCAATCTTCAATAATCTACACAAATTGTAATAGAGTATTATTTGTATAATTATTTCAATGAAGCGTGAGCAGATAGTATTTTGTCATAGGTAAGTATAAGAAATAAACAGGAAATAAATTTTAACTTCTTCATTATAATTATTAAATTATTAAATTTGAATATTAAATTCAAATTTGGGAAACTATAATGTTCTAGTAAAAAATGACACATTATATGAATTTAAAGAATCTAATTTTGAATTCAATAATAACTTTTACATAAATTGAAACATTTAAAGGAAAAATTTACATAAAGTACAAATCCAAATATTTATAGTAACCCAGACTTATGAATGACATTCTTAATTGTTTTTATCATTTAAGTAAGATAAAATTTTTAACTTATTACATTCTTTAACTTAACAAAAACTATTACCATTGTTATTATGTGTAATATGTTCTAATATTCAAACAAACTTTTTAAATGATTTGAACGTTAATGTTTATTGTTAAAATTTATTTAAATTTTAATGTGATTTATGATTAATGTTTCTTCTTAAAATTTATTTAGTTGTATAAAAAGTTAGATATTTGATGATTTAATCTTGAATTTCAAGTGCAAAGTTGTTAATATTTGAAAATATTTAAGAATTGGAATATTTATTTTATAAATATTAAACGTATTTTAAAACAGTAATAGAAATTTATTTTTAATTAATTTATGTATTATATTATAAAACTTATTGAATTGAATCAAATCCTTAATAATTACAATAAATACCTCGTTGTCCTTGTCGGCGTCTTTGATGTGTTGAGCAATGAATCTGACTCCCTGTAAAGCCGTCATGATATCTGGTGACAAATGTCTTGGCATCGTATTTTCGCTGTCTATTACTTTAAAAAATTATGTACACAGAAAATTAACACATTAATGATTACATATTTATTTTATGTATATAAAATTTTCTGAGAAATATTCATCACAAATATTTAATTAAATCTGAATAAAAGTATCTAATTATCATTTTAAGTTAAATGTGAAAATTTTTTTCATTATTTAATGCACAAATAAAATTTATATATTTTATTTAATGTGTAAATAAAAGATTAAAAATACTATGTACATGAAAAGAAACAAAAATGATTTAAAAAAACATTAGCAGCATATTTAAACGGTGTCTCTAAAAATAAGTGCCCCGAATTTAAACAATTATTTTTATAATAAATTTACATGCATTTTTATATATTTTAAATCTATTATTTATATTAAAAATAAGCTAAATTATCCAAAGTTAAATTTTTGTATTTTGTTTTTTAATATGAACCAGTCGATTAAAAATGACCAAATTAAAATTAATTTAAAAATTATATTCATAAAATTTTAAATCTAATATTTGACTTAAGAAATTGATTCTTCAAATCGTACATTTATGCAAGTAAAAAAATAATTTCATTATTAAAGATGCCTTTTTTAAATGTGATAATATGAGTACTTTCATTTATTTAAAAATTAATGCATTTTCATTGAATAAATATTTATAAATATATACAAATTTATGTTGTAATGTAAATAAAAATGCATAATATAAAATTTTATTAAATATAATAAATATGTGGTAAATATATAAATGTATTTGACAGCTCAGTTACTACCTGCTTGGTAATATTTTTTTTTACTTTATTACATTATAGTTCTTATAATAATTTAAAATTATTTTCTGACAAACATTTCAAACCTACAATAATAATAAATTATAATAATAATTTAAAATTATTTTCTGACAAACATTTCAAACCTACAATGAATATATGAATTATTTACTTTTAATGTAATTATCGTATTAAAAAAGTATCTATAATTATTATAAATATAATGTTAGATTGAATGTACCAACATTGTTTCTTAAGTTTCTTTCACTTTGTTTTTTTATGTATATCTGGTGTATTATTTTCAATAAATAATATTTTATATTTAATAATTCTGATAATTTTTGAAATAATATAAGTGTTTTGAATATTAATAAAACATAATTACAAAGTGAATTTGCAATTTATATTTAAAAAAAAAACAATTATTCTGTTTTGTGAATTTAAATAAAATAAGATGGACTGGAATGAACAGGATTAACAAAATACAAGATTTTACTTACTACAGAATTACTAGGCTATTGCATCTTAAAAAATATCCATAATTTGTTATAATGATTATAATTTCTTATTTACATTTGATTTTATGATGTAGATTATACTTGTACACGTGCAAATACATTAATTTATCTATTGAACAAAAAATAATTAATTATAATTCTTATATTTATTGTTGTTAATCTATTGAAAATGTGTCCTTTATAAATGAGTATGCTTGCATAAATGTGTATTTGTCCATTTAGCTGCAGGGTACTTATTTTAGAAAAAGAAGTTGTAAAAAATATGAATCTGTATTTGTTTTAATAAAATTTTATTTTATTTTAAATTTTGTATTTTTTAATTGATATAACTTTTCTAGAAATATATTGAAAATATTTGTCCTAAGATTTTTTAATCGATTTATGAATTACATTCAAATTTTATATTTTAAATGTAATTAGAGAAAATCTTATTAAAATAAAAAAAATTATTTTGAAGTAAGTGCAATATATATTTTTTCATTTTCATAGTTCAAAGTGCATATTTTTATATTCTTAATAATAAAAATTTTGATTAGTATTTTCTTGAATATATTTAATATGCTATAATGACCTATACATAATGTACAACATACACATAACTTACACATGCATACTATGTCATAAAGTATATAATAAGGTGTACATAAAACACTCACCAGAGGCATGCGGTATTTGACGTATATCTTCATCACGTATATTCTTATATGCAGATGTGACGCTTTCAAAGCCGTCGGGACTATCCTTGGATTCAGATGGATAGTCACTAATACTGTCCCGGAAACTACATTTACAAATAAAAATAAGTATTCCTATGGCTCATGAATATGCGCATGAAAAAGTAACTGCTAATTTAATCGTAGCTTAGTGATACTTGAGAGGGATAAGTTGTAAAAAGTAGAATAGATAAGTTTATTTTTATAATTAACATTTGTACTAATATCTAATAATTGTAAATTATATTATTTGTTAGAAAAATATATTTCTTATAAAAATAATTTTATTTAATTTAAGTTAGATTTACTTGAATAATTTGGATTAAATTATTCAATACATAATAAAGATTTCCTTGGTATTTAGTACTTGTATAATTCATAAATTATCTTATATGATATATAATTTATTTATAAATTTTAAATATACTATATTAAAATGAATTATAATAATAATAATAATATTTAATAAAATAAAAATTAGCATTAATATGTATTTTGAACAATTTTCAGTAAAATTCTATTTTTTACATTTATCTCAAGTTTTTAAATAAAAATTAGTAGTAAATGATTATAAGATTATAATAAAATAATAAGTAATTAAAAATAAATGGATAGTTTGGTTTTTTGATATATGAGAGTTACCTAAAATCCATCTCGTTAGTATATCCGCTATCCAGATATGTGTCGTCATACTCTGGCGTCGAATAAGGTGTTCGTCGCATCATAAGCACTCTCGGCATCCAATGTAAAAATAGTTGTCGAACCCAAGGCGACATATTGTGTGTAGATGGAGAACTTTTAATTGTATATTAAACAATTTTTTCAACAGAAATAATGTTAAATTTTCATTTCATTCTTAATTTATATCATTAAAATAAATTACTAATTACATACTAACCGAAAATGAACATTGAGAACACACACAGTTATCCATATAGATAAAGTGACTAGAATCATAGTAAACAAGAGGTATTTTCCGAGTAGAGGAATTGCCAATGAAGTTGGTGGAATAATTTCCGCTAGTAGTAAGAAAAAAACAGTCAGTGACAGAAGAATTGAGGAACATAGTGAGACCTGGAAAAACGTAATTTTGCCTTACACTTAATTTCACAGAGGATATTATTAATATATAAAATAAGAACCTACTTTCTCACCGGAATCACTCGGTAAATAGAATACCAAAACTGTTAAAAAGGTAATACCTACGCATGGTATTATAAGATTAACCGTATAAAACAATGTCTTCCTTCTCATTTTGATATTAAAAGTTATATCTGAAAAAATTGTATGTACATATGCTACATTTTTTAAAATGTAGTTTTAAAATACACAAAAAATATAAGCAATATATTATTTGTTCATAATAAATAATTACAATTTTTTAGAGTAATTAATGTATTATTTTTAGTATTGGAATAAATGTTACTAAATGTGTTTGCTTATTTATTGAGCTGTGTAAGAAGTCAGTAATATATAGGCTACTAATATTTAAAGTAATATTAATTAAAGCAAAATAAATAATTGATTAATGATTAAAATATTTTGATAAAATATAAAGAATTTTAGGACATAAAATTGAATTGTATTTCAAAATTTTGTACCGGAATAAGGTTCCTTGCAGCAAGGATAATATTCTTCATTTCTTGAGGCTGGCACCTCAAGTATGTCCCACTCAACGGATAAGTAAAAGTCGCTCAAATCAATTCCCGTTACCACCAAATTACTTCCAGGTTCTTGCTCCATGTGCTTTAAATCTACCTGCACAATAGAAAATATTGTTTCATTCTAAAACAAAGTAATTACAGTGAGTATGGAAGACAGATCTTTCATGCCCCTTTTGTGTTGCACGACGTCCGTTGCTAAATGAGTATATTTATAAGATGCATGTGCTTATACATATATATACCTGCGCGCCATTATAGGTCCATGAGCCAAACTTCATGTTGCAGGATTGCTCGTCAAAGGGAAAATATTCGACATTAATCTCGCAGGAGGATTTATAAATAGCCGGTGGTTTCCAGTAAACTTCGCCCGTGTATTTGAGCGTTGCTTTGGTCATCAATGTCACTTCGTAGTTCCCATCCGCACTGCGTAATATAGAGTCGTTACAGCATTAAATAAATTGAAATCGTGAGAGTTGCACTATTTTTGACTTGATATTGTATCGAAATAAATCTTTTTACCGTGGAAAGTATCAAGTTTCTAATTATTAAGAATTAATATATTGATGTTCGGGATTGACGCAGTTCCACGTATTTAAAAAAAAGTGGGTCATACGCGCTGTACGGCACACGGCACGCGCGCCCGGACCGGGACGCGCGCTCAGGCGAATGTTTATAAACAAAACTCGACAAGTCTAAGCAAGTTTTACGATCTAAAATACAATATACTATAAGATCTCACAAAGGAAGAACGTCCACGAAACTTCTAGAAGTTTCATTTTCTAACGCCACAAAGAATTTTCGGTATGACAATACGCAGCGGCACTGTTGCCGGCATTGCATCCGCTGCATGCATATTTAAGGGCAGCTCGCCATGTGGCGATCCTCATTGTAATCCTACATCGCGCTCGCTAAACCTAGTAACTAAGCCTAGTAAATAATATACGTGTGCATTATTAAAAGGAAATCGGCAGATTTAGTAGCGATTTCCAGTGAAGTCAATGGAATAATAATCAAAGGGGACATCAATTACGCAGCAACTAACACACCTTGGCTGCAGCTCACAAGGTACATTTTTATATTACTAATAAGCTAGTCACACCTCGCACAAGAATAAATTTGTCAATTCACATTTTCTCAGTCGAACCAAAGCTTCGACTCCGTACGGTCTCTCTCTCTCTCGGTCGGACCAACGCTTCGACCCCGTACAGGCCATAAGAGTCGACTCAAGCGACGCAATTCGTCAAGCACATTGTCAAGACCAGACAACAATATATTGAATAATCAACTATAAATACATTTCATTAATCCTTCAAGAGCATGAAGACTTATTAACAACTCTTACCTGTGACTAGACTCTTTTCTACTTCCCCCATAAATAATTCAAGACATTATTGATTACTCAACGAATTCCATTAAACATGTTACACCATATCAAGTATAGTTATTCATATATCAAACATAATTGATTCAAACACCATCTTCTCATGCTACCTCATAAGCATGATTGACGGACTACACCAGCTGATATTTACATCAGCATTACCTCAATTACAAGACACGCAGTAATATCCATAAAATCTACGATAATCAAGAGTACAAGGACACACCCTCAGTACTACAATAGAATACTTCTTTCTCAACAACATTGCAGTATTATTATTATAATTATTAACAAATAATAAACATTGTTTTTCCTAAATACATGATATTTTTTAACCTTGTCACTTATTATTTCCTTTAAAATTATCCTGCTGAGACTAATCCATTGAACTATTGAATTGGTAGTTCGAGCCATAAACTAAACCTTTAAAATCGAATAATTGACATGAACATATTCATAATGAAACCAAACTGAAACAAGTTATGCGAGTTAATATTATTTAATATTGTGCATTTTAATTATATTCTTTTGAATTATACATAGAATTATCTTACTTAAGCTATTATTTTTCAGTGCTACAGAAGGAACGCATGCAGCAATTGATAATATTTTGATGAAAAAGAAAGTCAAATAAGTTTGTATTAAGTATTATATTTTGAAATCTATATCTTATATTGAATTTTAGTTAAGTAAGTAAACAGAAATTAATTATTTGCTAGATAACTTTAGTCTTTCTCAGGTGATGTCGAACTTTCATTAGTTATATAATAACCATTGTGATCTTAATATGTTTTCATCATTATTTTAATAGAGTATATGTTAAAGGTAGGAAATATTTTTAAATTTGATGTTGTATTTATTAAAAGTATAAGCTTGTATTAGTTTACATATTATAAATTATTTAAATAAAAATACATTGTAATTATCTAAACTGTAAATATTAAATTAAAATTATCAATATGAATACTTTTTTATTAAATAATCGTGGGTTCACTTCAACTGATGTGCACACCATTTTAATATTATTAGTCCTTTTTATTTTAATTTATTTTAAAATTCTTAAACGATAGCATAATTTCATCAAATATAATAAAAAATGGTTTTCAACAAATTTATGTTTAAAATCTAAATGAGCCATAGTCAATAGAAGATAGGATTATATATATATTTATAAATTAGTAAAGAAACTAAATAATAAAATAAAAAATTCAAAAGATAGATAATACATAACAAATAGACAGAAGAGAGAAAAGAACGAAAGACTCACTTGTTATACATAACGATGTCTGGTAACCATATATTTTCTGATGGCACGTACAGCATTTCAACACCACCGTATTCCTCTGGATCCCAGCGTAGCTTGTAATCGAACCATTTCTTGATGATTGTTAAAGAATCATGGGAGAGAGAGAGAGAGAAAGTTAATAATTATTTGGATTTGAGAAAAGAAACTGCTCAAATTCAAGCATATACATAAGGATATCTCCATGAAATGCATGTTCATCCGTATTTATCACATTTGTGTATGTAAAAAGGAGAAAAAACATAGAAGCGAAAACCAGTTCGGCGTATAATTTTCGTTAGAAATTTTGTAAAATATTTATGCATTAACTGTTTCCCTTACTCTTGTATTTTTGCGTACAAGTGTGATACAAACATTTTTTATTTACATTAATAACAAAGTAATTATATTTTGTTTAACTTTTCTCAAATTTGTAATTAAAGTTCATATTCTAACGTGTATATGAATGCTGGGAATAATAACATGTATATATTTTACCTGTATATATTAACCATGTATACCCTTTTTATAATTTTGTTCAATTCGAGATTAATTTAAGAAAATTGAATTTTGAGTAAGATATTAATTATTATGAAAATAAATTTGCTGTTTACCTGCTCTACCCAGACATTCGTTGTCATCACTTGATTTTTTAAATTCTGCAAAATATAGATCATTTAATACGCGAAAACTGTATTCTCTCTACTTATTCTGCAACGAAATGTAGCTTTACGTATATATAATTAAGATGAGGATTGTAAATTACCATTTCAATCAATTGAGATAACTTCAATCCCAACCATACTGTCAGTGTTTCGGTATTGTTAATAACTGGTCGAATGAGCCTGTTATAATTGGACAATAAATCATCGTACAGTCGTTTAGTGTCAGGATTCGCCTCGAAGCTTTTTATTTCTGGATGAAAACCTGAAAATCAAATTGTACTTTATGTTTACTTATTTATACAGAGAGAGAGAGAGAGAGAGAGAGAGAGAGAGAGAGAGAGAGAGATGCGGAATGTGTATACGAGCGAAAAAGAGATATAAAAATATGTAAAGTTTTGATGTATTTTGTCGATTATTTCTCAATTATACGTATTTTAATTTCAAAACTAAAATGGTTTGAAATTTTGAAGCTATAATTGTTTGTAGCTAAAATAAACTGTAATATAAACCGAAAGATGTATTTCATGGTAAGTAATATTTTGGTAATTATAATATACGCTCGATGTAGTTGTAATCACATCCTAGTGCAATGCAATTCCAAGCTTACATTATTAAAATACAGACGGCAATATTGAGATGATCGAATTTTTCATTGAGAGTTTCGAAAAAAAAAATACGAAACCATATTGAAACCCACAATATTTATAAAGTCTGAGATAAAATTTAGTAACTGCTGTTTTATAGGAGCCGAAGACGATAGAAAGATAAAACCAAGTGTAATGAGATACGAATGTAAAAATAGCGTAATTTGACGTATCCTCACCATTGGTCACAACAATGAGGAGGCACATGAGAAGCGTCAGAATCTCGTGCATCTCCGGTCTGTCGATGGACCGCAAAACTCGATGGTCGGGACAACGTCAATAGATTCAACTATATTCGCCGAGGCGTCGGCCCAGTCAACATACCCTGCTATCAACATCCACCAATCGATAAGCGATGCTAACGCCATCCCCCAACGGCGACCTCTCATACCTGACTCACCAAGCTTTTTGAATCAGGGATAAGGCAATTTAAGTGCTTTTACCAGGGGTGGTTAGAATGTCGTATTAAATTATCCCCCCTTATCGGGGATAAGGTTTGGCTTCTTACTTGTTGGTGGTCAAGTTGTGCGGATAACAAATATTATTTTACGGAAAATGAATTTATCAGTTTCATTGTCTTTCAACTGTTTGTTTTATCTTTAGTGTATCGATTTCATATTTTAAAATTATTCTGAATTTTAAACACCTCTAAGTTTAAATTGGCAATATTATTGAGTAATTTGATCGAAGTTCTAATATTTGTTTCATGAATCTCACAAGTAATGAATAGTTATTAATAGTAATAATGCATTGTACTAAAGTATTCTGTTTTAATGTTAGATTTATTTCTACAAGAATATTTTTTGTAATTAGTCGAAAATACAAACTTTTCAATTTAAATTGTTTGTTTTCTTATACATACTAAAGCAAAATTTATATTATAATATTTATTTAATTGAATTTGCAATTAATTTACAATTTTATTTCTCGAGTATCTGTATTTCAAGATTTTTACTTATCAATAAATCTTTTTTTAATTCTATTAGCTGTAGTTATTTAATGTTACAATAAATGTACTTTATCACTATGTATAAACTATGTTTCAATACTGTGCATAAAGTATGTTACTATGTATAAACCTTTTATAAGAATTTTATGAATAAATTTTTTTTTTCAATAACCTACAGATTATTACAAACCACAATGATATACTAAAGATATAATATTCTTGACGTAATGGAGTTTAGTACTATTTATAAATTATAAATTTATATATTTTTATATTTATTTTTATTTTTTATATATTATACAAAATTATAAAATAAATTTATATAAAATAAATTTATATATAAAATGCTATTTATAAATAATTCATGCTTTAGAATTTATATACAAAAATTTTGTGTTAGGTTTTTAAAGGATAGATTAAATATTTTATTTATAAAATTACGTCAATTATATAATATGAAATAAAAAAATATTTTGTTCCACAAGTATATTATTAAGAATGTTCGTTTAATTTTATAATATATTTTAGTAAAAATTAACATTAACAAAATAAAATGCAGTTAAATTGAAGTAATTTTAGTAAACTTTTTTCAAAATAATTTTGAAAATTATATCACTTAACCAAAGTAAATTAATAACCATACAATAATATTAAATTTTTTTTAATATAATTTAAAGTCATGCTTGATAATACTATATATATAAATATTACAATATTACAATATTTTATATATTGTACTGATTTTATAATTATTGTATGTTTCAATAATATCGTGAGATTTTCGCATTTGTGTTTGATAGAAATTTTCTCAAATATCTGCAAGAATTAACTTTATATTTGTTTTTTATTTTAAACATTTATAAAAAAACAAGATGCACACAAGCAAAATTTTGTTGCATAAGTCACAAGTTTTTTATTTCAGCAGTGTTGTCTGTAACAAAAGTTTAAACAAGTTTATATCTTTTTCTTACTTTCTACCTATATATTACTTTGAATCTTATTTCTATCATTTATGCTTTTATCATTTTATAATATGTACCAAAAGATGTTCAAAATAATGTAATAAATTTTCGTAATAAGTAATTAAATGCGATTTAAAAATTTAATGCAGATATTTTAAAGGTATTTAAAATTTATTTAAAATTAAAGACATCTATATAGTCTTTTTGTATATTTTGTATTATTATTTTAGAAGTATGTTACAGACTCTGATTTCTGAATAATTAACAGTAATTAAGAAATATTCTATTTATTTAAATCATAAACTCGTTCGACTTTTCTGAAACATTAACTATAGCGCTATGTAAAAATCGACCAAATCATTCAATAATTATTAAAAATATAATAACCAATAATTACTTCATATATTTATTATAAGTTCAGCATTGGTAGAGAACTCATAGCGCATTTATTCATTTTTTTTAATTATATTTGAAAATAGATTAAGTATTTGTTAGAAGTATTGGCTTATTGACCACTAAATTAGGATTTTGTATAATCAAAATGGATCTTTTAAATACGTATATTTTCAAAAGTTCTTAGAAATTTTATTATTAAATTACAATCTCTCAAATTACACATATTGCTAAAATTTTTTAATAATTTAACTTTTTAGTTATTAAAATAGAACAATGAAAATTATTATTATAAATTAAATACTTATTCATCATTTCAAATATAAAATAACTTATAAAATATATTTAATTAACAAAAACGTTAAAATGATTTATTTTATTGCTAAAATAAAAAAAAAATTTGATAAGAATAATTAATTTGATAATAAATTAATATTATTTTCTAAATATAAAAGATTAATCAAATAAATTTTTAAAATATGGCAGATAATATTTTTGTATAAATTTTCTTCAACGTATATTTTAAATTGAATTCATATAAAGTTATAAAAATAAACTTTGAAAATGATGAAAACAGAGAAAGTATTAAATAAGAACAAACTTTCAGTTTGGAAAATCGATATCTTTTATATCTAATTATTTAGAAATTAAAATTAGTGTAATTCTTTTTGAAAACAAGTATTTAAAAAGTTTCCTTTAATTGAAAGCATTCTTTTAAATTGATAATCACACAAAAAAATTTCAGATATAGATAAGATATACAATATATATATATATCTTAATAATTATGTAAGATATATATAATTTAAGATATATACAGACTTCTTAAAAACTTAATATTAAATAAGTTTTATTACTTTTTATTATTTATACAAGGGTAGATAACTAATTATATAAAAACAGTCTGATTATTTTAACTTTAATAAATATACAGATTAAGCTGTAATACCATGTATAGTAAGAAATGACATTTATTAATATTACAAAGTATTTATGGTCACCGTGGTAAGTATTTATAAATATAAAAAATAGTGTTATTTTTTTTAATATCACATAAAAACTATTATTACCGATTTTTATTGAATTTCTGAATGTAAAATGAAAATTATTAATTAACTTCATGGTCAATTCATAATGAAACACTAAAGCAATATATATATATATATATATATATATATATATATATAACTTATTAATTTTTTATAGTTATTAATATTAAGATTATACATTTAGTGAAAATATGTAAGTATGTACATAATTTGATAAATCACTTAGATTCATATTAGTATATAGCTAAACTTATTATAAGTAAGTTTGTTCTTTTGTACTTCATTAACTCTTTATTTATTGTTACTCCACTCATATTATTAAATTTGTAATAATATTCAAATAAATTAGGGGTATTAGTATTTATGTATATATCAAGAGTATAAATAATCCATTTAAGAACCTCTAAATAAAATATAAAGGTAAAATTTTGGAAAATTATTTTTGTTAGAAGTATGTTGGTTACAATATTTTCGATAGTTAAGATAACACAAATAATTTTTTATAGTAATCTTATGAATCCTGCACAATTCAAGCAACGTTGAAATTTTTACCCACTTAATGACTCAAGTTCTTAGATTTTATTCTCGTACACGACTTTTTCCATTTTAAATTCGTACTTCCATGTCACAATTCAATTAACTCCATTGACGACCTAATCTTTCACCCAAATGAAGTTGTTCCCTGTTTCTATGCATATAGACAATGAATAAGTTTAGTAAAACGTTGAAAATGAGTGAGAGGGTCAAAAAGATAGATATAGATGTATGGTGATGAAAGGACGGAAAATGGAAATGGGAGAGAGACAGGAGTGACAGAATAGAGATCGGTCAACTGGTATATCGATCCTATTTCCGTTCACTATCAAACGGAAATTGCTACTTCATCAGCTAGCCAGTACAAATATTAATGTACCTCGTTCATCTTTTATTCCTGGAGCTGAACTTCCCAATTTCACGTCTCCTGCAAACCTTTGGTCTTTCTTCATTTCCCCTCTATCTTGCTATTGTCTCCGAACGGGAGATGTCAAGTCTATTCCTTCAGCTGAGGGCTGGATTCGTTGTTTGAAGCATTCCTCAACAATAATTATAATTAGCTTCTTGGCGGTGTAGCATTATATTGTGTTAGATTACAGTCTATTGTTAAGACGTAAAATAAAATATAAGATTACAGTGTCTGTTGTAGAATAAGTCGATACCGAATCAGCATTTCGCCTTAGTAAAATATATCTACACATAGGATGTGTTTGACAAATCAAATATTTTAAAATCCATATCTGATTTCTGATTACTATAACAAAAATTATATTTAACACATACGTATAAAAATTATTATTTAATAAATCATGAATGACATCATTTTTATATAATTTAGGGATTTTGGTTATTGATTTGTGTTTTATTGTTGAGATATTGCAGTAGAACAAAATAATTTTAACTTGATAACTTGTTATATAATTATTGTTATTATAATACGATGGAAATCTGTCAAACGAACGAGCATTGACTTATTAATTTTAATTTTTGTAAGTGTAATTATATTGTTTTTTAAAATCAATTCAAGATGTTGATTCATCTTTAGATATCTATGCATTTATAAATTCGGAATCTATATTATTCATAATCTAGAGTATATTTATAAAATTTTTAAAAACCTATAAATATATCATAGATGTTGATGATATAAGAGTTTTATTTAATTATATTTTAATTATACGCAATTCCAGTTAAGAACTATTAAAAAAAAAACATATCTGATAAATTAAAGTAACCCATAGAAAATTAAATTTTCATAATAAACTCTAATTATAAATATAAAGCTACATATCTGATATTACACTATTATTTTAACTGTTATCAAATCATAAAACAAAATATTCTGTTAATATACTTTTTGTAATGTACAGATTTAATAAATACTTTTTAAATAAAAATTAAAAGTACATTGAAATACATATTAACATTTTATAATAAGAACGACTCATGTTTAAACTGTAATGTCCATTTTCAGAAAGATGTATAAGTA